ATAATTCATTTAATCTCTTTCAAGTATTTCTTTTTTGATGTCTAGATCAAATTTTTCTGGGTAGTAAATTTGCGATTCAATTCCACCCCGATGACTACTACTTATAAATATTCATTTTATTTTTATTATAAAACTTCATGTTATCTTATTGCATTCTATAGGAAAGTAATATCAAAGGAAAACTACCTTATTATAGAAATCTTAAGATTCATATTAGATATTATCTTTTAGTAAAATTTTATTAATTGTATATTTATAGATTAATTTTATCAATTATTTATTCATTCAAAGACTTTATTATATATATTTAAAAATTATTTTTGATAAAATTTATTAGATTGGGGTCCAATTCAAATAAATTCTTCACAAATGAAAAGTATAGTAGAGGTTTAGTCGAAATTATAAATTTAGTATAAGCTTAGTTATAATACACAAATTACAGTACAGTTAGCAGAGTGGAATCACAGAAAAAAATAATAATTAAATGAATTAAATGAACTTTTTACAAATTCTGATAAAAAGAGGTTCATTAGAAATCTATGAAATAAATAATTATAAGAATAAAAATAACATTAAGGATATAAATTACAAAACTAATTAAAATAACTTCAGGTAAAAAATATTAAGCTGGCTCTTCAAATTAAACAAATATTTTATCTATTTAAAGAAAATTACTAATCCAATTAATATGAGATAACTTGCAATTTAAGAATCCAAATTATCATATACAAACTCAAACTCTCTTCGGAGGATTTAAATAAAATATATAAGCATATGAAGGGTTAGCATAAAGATAAATAGTAATTAGTGAGATTGATGGTAGAATAACATCAAGATTGTGATGGAATATTTTAAAAAAATAGACTATACCACTAGATTTTAGAATTTAGGTATTTAATTCTTGTATTAATTAGAGAATCTATATTATAAAATTGAAGATCTTAAACTAGCATTAAAAAATTTAAATTAGACTATTGAAATCAATAAGGATTGTATTGATACCTAATAATGTAGAGGTTTAAATTGTTAATATAATGGGATTTTGACTAAATAATAAAATTAGATATATCATCTCATTATGTTTATATAAGTAATCTAAATATTAAGTTATTTAGCTCTTTTAAATGAGATTAAAGGAAAAGATAAAAATTCAATCATCTTGATAAATCGTTATTGAATTACTGAAAATAGAGATATTAGATTAAAATTATACAATATTAGAAAGATATCATTCTCACTCCCATATTTGGTTTCTTAATAGAAATAGATTCAATATTATTTAAGTTCTTTTAATATTTGGGCTTCATGTCTTAGTTGTAGCCCAATTTATTTATTGAGAATGCTATTAGAGATTGTGTGCTAGTGTTTAGTTGGGATGAAGTTTTAGAAATGAGATTACTTTGTTCTAAGAAAATCTATTCGAATATTTATTTTAGAAAATTATCAGTAAAGAGATACACAGTCTATAAGAAAAATAAAAAATTAAATAATTTAGATATAATTCATTGTATAATTATAAATATTTTAAGCACATCATCGAAATCCTGAATAGCCAAAAGAAACTACAGGATTCATAATTATTATCCTTAAGGATGGAAGGATTTTTATCTTGAAAGGATATAAATTCCGAATAAATAAAAGTAGAAATAAATTAGTAAACACTAATATACATTGGATCTTAATAATGCACTCAAATATTTATATTGACATGATGGAAATTCTGCAATTTATTGAAGTGAGAAAAAACTATAAATTTAATACATATGAATTAATTTTTCATTTGCTTTAACAAAAATGGAAATATTTATACATAAGATATTAAAATCTTTGGCTCTATTAGTTGTTTATTTATAAAAGAACTTAATGGGTCGTAAAATTTTAGATAACCAAAAATTAAAGGTAAACAATATTTATTTATTTTTTAAACAAATATAATAATTTCATAATTTTCTCGGAAATTAGCTTTCCTGTTTATCAAAGACAACTAGAAGTTATCTATGATATATACTCAAACAATTAAGATTGATTAGTCTGAGAGATATGAAACTTTTAAACAAAAAAAATTATCTATTTGATGATCCCTTTTTTATAAATTTTGGAGTGAAGGAAACTTTAAAGTATTCATTAAGATTTTGTAGAGAATAGTTTAATTCTAATCTTGGTTATTCAAACAGGATAAATTGCAATCTATCACTTTCAATGACTTAGAAAAAAATACTAAAAATTAAAAGAATTTAGATTCAACGGTAACTCAATTTGATATTTCACTTTATAATCTACTATCTAATTTAAAATGATTTGAATCAATTAAGAGGTAAATTTAATAGAATTGATAAGATTGAAGAATAATTTATTCAATCAATTTAGAATGAAAAGCCAAAGTCATTTTGTAATATAAATTAATCAAATGAACATAGATATTATAAATATTTAATATATCAAATATGAAAAACTGCATAAAGTTAAATAGATATATAAATCAAATTAAGATATATTATTCTTTTGTTGAGAAGGCAAGATAATTATTAAAATATATTATTTCATAGCTCAAAAATAATTTTTTTTTATTTATTTAAATTAAAAACTTTTTTAAACGAAACATGAATTAAAAATATGTGTCTAACTTAGAAATTAGTTTTGATCGTGAAAATATGAGTGTTGTATCCAAAATTTTGATTGTTAAGCCTCTAAATTAAACATTTAATTATTTCACTGAAATCAAAAATAAAAGAGCAACTTAATAATCTTTTATTCATTTAAGAGGAGGAGGATGTGGATAAGCTAAACCAACTTAAAAAATTGAAGAAAAGATAATTATTGGAGTGCCTGATAATTTTTTGAAAAATTTAGAAAAATATGTTGATGTTATCAATACTAAAGCTTAGTTGTTAACAGATAATTCACAGAGAAATGAAGTAATAATAGCATGTTAATGGTTTATGTATAATAAAGAGCATTTAAATATGTGTTGTATTAACAATAATTTAACTCAATCAATATATACTATAATGTAGAATTCTTTTGGAAATTTGCTAAAAATTCTTTCTGTTTATTTAAGAGCTTCATGGTTTTTATGCTATCAAATTCTCTAGATTTGCAATGACTTTTTAAGAGTTATATATTCATTTTAAATATAAAGCTAGGAGAGATATATGGATTTACAAATATAATAACAATTTTTATAAGATTTAGAAGAATTTAAGGAATAGTTGGAAATCGAAGAAGCAAATGTATGGAATACAGGAATAGAATATGAAGTAACACTTATGAAAATTATGTTAATTAATTGTTAGACCAACTCAGAAGAAGGTAAGAATCTTTTAATAAATATTATTAAAAATGTAGCCGAATCAGCATTGTAAATGTCTCCCACAGAAGACTTAATCCCAAGTCTTATTGAAGGAGCTAAATTTCTATTTTTACAATACAAAGATAAAGTATTATATCCTTAAGAAGTGTACGCTACTTACTATTTATTCTAAACTCTTAAATGGTCTATTGTGAGGTAATTAAAATCTTAATATTCTGTCTATAATCAAATTAAATAACTAAAAGATGCATTCTAACAATATATTCTACATTCAGATAATTGGATAATTCATTATAGTTGGATATCAATGATAGTCGATATATTAGCATATAGACCTATTATTGATAAATAGAAAATTGCCAAAGGAAATTAAATTGAATAGTAATCAATGTGGAATAATTTAATTGAAAATAACCTAATTTTTAGTCTTACATATAATAGAAATTAAGCATCTATCATTTTATTTCAAAATCAAGTATAATATTTTAGTGTAGAAATAAAGGATTTAATGGAAAAATAAGGTATTCCTAAGTTTAAGTTAATTTCAGATTTTATTTTAAAAGGTTAATTTACCCAATAAATTAATATTTGGAATTTTTATAGAGATTTTTCTTTTAAAAAAAAAAAAGAAACAACTATTAAGGATTTTGAAATCGTTTTAGACAATAACGATTTATTATTATTAGAGAAATAAATTGAAAAATTTAATTCTTAATTAGATGATTTAGTTATACTTTATTAGTAAATCTAATAATCCTTGACTGATTATTTTAACTAATCAACTAACACACAAATCAATATTAAATTATTATAAAATGATTACTCTGTCTTTGAAAAACAATTTTTAGATGCATATAAATTGGCACTCTATCATCTTGATTTTATCATAGAAAGATCTACTCTTGAGTTTGAAAAATTAAAATTGCTTTCTCCTTGTTTTGAAGAATTAACAATTGAAGCCAAGCAAAAATAAAATTTAGAAAATATTTTTAATCATTTAGAAGAATTGATTTAAAATAAATTTTAAACCTTATTAGAAGATTTTCTTAAAAATTTTATAACTGTAGTAGAGTATTTGAGTTATCTAGCTGAAATTAGTTTAAATCCACAATCTAAAAAGTATACTGATTTAGAGAGAGTAAATTCCAAATTTTAAATTTAAAATTATCTAAATTCACAAATATTTTTTGAATAGTCATTAATAATTTAATAATTCATAATAAAAACTAAGGAATTTTAACAAAAGTTTGCTTTCTCAATGTCAAGTATTAAAACTAATGATTATAATATCTAAATTACATCTGATTAAATATAAGCTATGTCAAATACGTAATGCTCAGGAAAATGGATCAAGATATTAAGGTATTAACTAAGTGCTTTTTTTTCAGAGAAATTTAATATATGTCAAGCTGAAGTTAAAAGTAAAGAGGATATTCAACAAATTCAAATAAAATGCATTTTTAGCTTGATAATATTAAAGCTAATTAAATAATTTTGTTAAATCCATTAATATAAAATAAATACATTCGAGTAAGACATTAATTAAGAAAAACTCTAAGCTGTTTAAAAATAAGAATAGTTTAATCAAAATTTTAAATTAATGATTATAAAGTAACTAAAGTAATAAAAAGAAAAAATAGAATGTATTTTTTTGAAATAAAAAGATGTTGATTAAACTAGTAAATAAAGTAGAGAAAAAACAAAATAACTTCTTTATTAAATAAAGTTAGATTAAATAATGATCGAAAATGCATATGAAAAAATTGAAAGAGAAGACATTTATTAAATAAAATCTCAGGTTATACAATTCATGAAAGAGGCTCATTTATTTATTACTATTTAAAATTTGAATGAACATTATGAACATGATGCTGTTAAGAGTTAAATGTAATAATATGATAATATTATAACGCTAATTTAAAATAGTAGTTTCGGGGAATTCAATAATTGTCAATTTTAAGAAAAAACAAAAACCTTATCATATTGGATTGGATAGAACAAAAATTTAGATTACTGTTATTTTTGTGTAGATTAAGATATAAAAGAGATAAAGAAGACAATTAAATTACTAAAAATATTAGAGTAATTGTTAGCGATAAATGTAAATTAGATTTAATAAACTGAAAATAAAGAACTTTAATTAATTATAGATAAGTTCAATTCATAAAGGTAATAAATTGTAAATAAGTTTAATATTTAAACATAAATTACTAATTTAATGAAAATTTTGTATGAAAGAAATTAATCTGAGAGTTGCAAATGTGTAGTTTAAATAGAACAATAAAAAGATAAATCAATTTAAAAAATTGAATCAACTTTAGAAGAAACCTTAAATTTCTTTTTATTTAGATAAAAAAGTTAAGAAAATATATCTTAAAAGCTAGACCCTTTGTACTTTAATGTAAGAAATAATCTACATGAATAAGTAACGATAAAAAAGTCAATATTTGATGTATTTGATTTCAGCAATGATTATAAGATCAGAGAATGCTTAGTTTATAATTTAATAAAGTTACAGTAAGGAATCAAAGAAGAATAAATAGAAGAATTTTCGTCAAAACTTATTTAATATCTTTGGATTTTTGAAAAAGATTAAAGAGTTAGAAATCTATTAAAAAATAAAGAATTAATTGAAATGTAAAAACTGTTTTTTTCAAAAGATATCAAGTCTATATCTGAATAAGTTAGATAGGAGATGAAATTAAGAATGAAAAGTATAGAGAGCATTTAATAAGAATTAAGACTTGAGGGAAATTCATAAGTTAAAGAACAAATTAAATAATAACTTATATTAGCCTATGAAGAACTTGAATAATATAATGATAATATTACTGAAATGTCGGAAAAAATGGATGTAAGTTTAATAATTTTAAAAGATATATCTAAAGATGTGAAATAAATGAAAAGTTAAATTGATTCTTTATAAGAAAGTTTAAATCAAGTTGGTGATGATATTCGTAAATTAAGAGGAAAAAGATATGATGAATTATTAGATATAAGAAAATAAAAGATATTATTATAATCTAAATTAGCAGAATTGGATTCTGTTTATGTTTAATTAAAAACAATAGAATATGATCCTGTTACTGGTGAGATTATAAAATCTAAAGATGGTGTAATAATAACTTAATTAATGAGTGAGTAATAGGATGATTATGGAGGTGAAGTAAATGAATTTATTTGGGGTGTATCAAAATAAAATGATGTTATGTTACTTTCAGGAAATGCAGGTTCTGGTAAAAGTAGAGCAGCTAGAAAAATTGAAGAATTTCTATGGAAGTAACAAGGTAGTAATTCTAAATGGATTCCTATATTTGTATCACTTCCAACTTTAAAGAATCCTAAATATAATTTATTTGAATAAGCTTTAGAATCTGAAAATTATTAATTTGATAAATATTAAGTTAGAGAACTTAAAGAGGCTATTTAAAATAAAAAAGAATTTATCATTTTAATTCTTGATAGTTATGATGAGATGAAATAAGATTGTATTTAATAGAATCTCATTATTACTAATAAGCTAATTCAAGATTTAAATATTGAATAAAATTCTAAATCCTTCAAGATTATCATCACAACAAGAAGAGAAATATTAAATACTTTGGGATATTAAACTTGGTTTTATGGATAGAGTATAAGGAGTTTAAAAGAAGTTTAGATATAGGATTTTGATAAAGGTTAAAAAAGTGATTATCTAATATAATATAATGAACTTAGTGTAAGGAGAAAAATAAGAGGTGTTTATGACTTTTTAAAGCAGATTTCATAATAGAGCTTTAATTTAGATGAATTTTTGAGCATATGGTATTAAGTTAATGCAGAAGTTTAAGAAAGTATTAAAAATTCTCATTAAGCATAATTGGAATTAATTTTTGATAATTCTTAAATCGAAAAATTAATACAAAAAATTTTAGAGCATCATCCATTTAAATATCTAAAGGATGAATAAATTAGAGGGCTCAGAAAAGATTTATCATCTTTATGGAGTGTTTATAAATTTGAAAAAGCCATCGAAAATGTAGGTATTTCTGATTTATTGTCAACTCCTTTTATGTTGGAAATTATTGTCTAAGTATTACCTAGCATGGCAAAATAATAGCAAGGTTCTGTTGATATAAAAAATAGATTTCTTTAAAGTTACATTAGTATCACAAATAAAAATATCTTATCTAAAAAATTATTGGAAAATTATAAAAATAATTTAGATTAAAAAGAAAATAATTAAAAAATCCAACCTCTTTTTGAGGGAAAAAGGTCAAAAATCTAATATTATGAATTTATTGATAAATCAGAATAACAAACTAAGATTTATTAATTTTTAGACGAATTGGAGAGTTTACAGTTCTTTTAAACTTACTCAATAACTAGCATTCTTAAAATTGATTATTATGACTTATTTGTTGATAATAAATCTTTTAAAATCTATAATTAAGATTTAGTTTGTGTAGTTGAAGCTTTAAAAATGAAAAAGTATACAATATTTGAGTTTTACGATAGCTTTATTCATTTTTATCATGATCAATAAATTCAAAAGTTGAGAGAAATTGGTAAACTTTCAAATTGGGAAAGTTTTCAATTAGATATTTTATAATTTTCTTAAAATTTAGCATTAAATATGACAATAAATTAATTATCTTAAATCACATATTAATAAAAAGGAAAATTGAAATTAACAAATAATTATAATAATAATAAGCATAAAGATGATGATGATTGGATTGATGAATATTTTAATGATTCTTAATAGGATCTTGATTACAATAAATTAATAAGAAGTTGTATCCTCTTAAATGCTAAAGGAAGTAGCTATTCTTTTACTCATAAATCTATTTAAGAATTCTATGTTGCTAAATACATTTTGGATTTATTGCTTTAGTCAGTTAATTAAGATTTGAATGAGAACAATTTAGATGAGAAATAAATAATGAAATCATTATATAATTAATCTAAATTAAACATCTCGAAAGATCATTATCAAGGAGCCTTAGTTTTTATAAAAGATAAATTAAATAATCTAGAAAACATAAAAGATATTCTTATTAATATAGTTAAACTTTCTACAAATGATAACTTCATACATGCAGCTTCAAATAGTATTTACTTGTTATCCTAATTGGATGTTTATCTAGGAGAAGAAAAATTTTTAAATATTAATATATGTCATACAAATATTTCAGGTTTGAGTTTTTGTAATTCAGATTTTAGCGAATCTAAATTTACTAATGTTAATATTAATTCTTGTAATTTCAATTATGCTAATTTGACAAATGTTAAATGGAATGATATACAATGCAAAGAAAAACCATTTTTAAAAAAAGATGAAAAAATTCAAGTAGTAGAATTTTCTCCAAATGGTAAATTAATTGCATCAAACGGAAAGCTAAACTTAGTTATACTTTGGGATGTGGAAACTTACTTAGAAATATTGGAATTGGATGGTCACAGTGACATGATATAATCAATTGCCTTTTCACCTGATTCAGAAACTCTAGCTTCAGCCAGTAAAGATAAGACAATTAAGTTATGGGATATTTCTAATCTAAAAATCAAAAAGTTGATTACTACTCTAAAGTATCATGACTCTGAAGTTATAGATGTAAGATTTACTTATGATGGAAAAAAAATAGTTTCAGCTGATACATCAGGGATATTGATATCTTGTGATCTTAAGTCTATCAAAGAAAAACCAGATGATATTATATTTGAGTACCAATAAGAAATTTTAGTTTAAACTTGCACTTAAGATGATAAAATGATTGCTTTGGGATTAAATGACTCCAGTATTAAATTAATTAAAGTAGAAACCAAGCATGAAAGAAATTTAATAGGACATACAGGAACAATTACAGCCTTAGCTTTCAGTAAAGATGGAAAAAGATTAGCGTCTGCATGTAACTACTTACTATTATTATGGGATTTGAGGAATGATAATAAATGCTAAATTTTGTCATTTTAAGAATATGAAATCTAATATTTAACCATACTAAATGAAAGAGAAATAGTCATAGGAGCATTAAACTATCTTGCTTATGGAGAATTTTAGTATGATGATTCTACTTATTTTACTAATATTTAATAATCCTATCTTGTTTAATTATTTCCTAAATCTAATCTGGCTTTTATTATCCAAGATAGAAAAATTGAAATACTTGATTTAAACACTAAAGCAATTATTAATAGTATATTTTTAAGTGAAGAAATTATTGAAATCGAGCTAGATAACAATGAATAGAGATTAAAAATTAGACTTAAAGATTATCATAAAATATTTTTGAACATGAATACTTTTTAGGAATTTGATCCTTCTGAAAGAGAATAACGTTAATTTCATTATTAGAATCTAGTATTTGAAAAATGTTCTAGTGAAATTATAATTTATGATGATAAGAATTAGAATTATGATGAATCAAATAATTCCATTCGTTTATTTTGTGAATAAGTAATTTAGTTTTCATTCTAAGCTAATTAGTAATTATTGGCTTGTAAATCCAAAGAAAGTAGAATAATGTTATATGATTATAAAGAAAAAAAGCGTATATATAATGGTATTGAAGATATAGGAAAAGTTGATCAAATGGTCTTTTCACCCATCAAACCTATATTATCTGTAATTGATTATTAAGGAATTTTATATTTTTGGAATATTAGTAAAGATCCTTTTGAATGTTAAAAATTCGATGAAATTGATGAGGGTATTAAGGTATATTTAATCAATTATTCACCTGATGGTTCATTATTAATTATTTCAACTAACGATTAGAAAATCAGAATTATAGATGAAATAAATGGATCAGCAACAAAAATATTAGAATTTTAATTTAATATTGATAGAGGTATTTATGTATCTTTTGATAATGAGACTTTGGTTATTAATAGCGACAAATTATGGAACTTAAATAAGTGTGAGGAAATATTGTTACAAGATCGAGATTCATATTACCATAACCCATAAATTCAATTTTGTCCAGATGGAATATCTTTTGCATTAATATCATAAGATAAATATTTAAGACTTTGGAATAAAAATACAGGATAGAGTATTAAAAATTATAAACTTCCTGAGGATTCATCATATAATAGTTTTAATTTCTCTAAAGATGGAAAGTTTTTTGTTACTGCTGGAAAATACATTAGAATATGGAAATATTCTGAAAATAATATTGAAATGATTAGTGCTTACCATCCTTATATTAGTTATTATAGATATGAGGCTGAAATTAGTTAATTATTATTGATTGATAATGACTAAAATCTTATGTATATTATGAATAAAGAATTAGAAATTATGGCTCTGTCTAAATGCAATTTAAAGTATATAATACCAACTTCATATTGGTTTGTTTAATTTCTAACAAATGGATATATGGTTACACAGGGCTATACTGATGTAGCAATTTTTGATTGGAAATAATAGATTTCTATATTGACATTTAGAGCTGATATTGTAGAATTCTTTTCAGATAGTTTGCATTGCATAATTATAAATTAATCAAGAATTATTAAGATGGATATGAATTCGTAAAAAGAAATCTTTAATTTAGTTATTTGTGAAGAGATATAAAGTGCTGAGCTCAGCTAAAACGAAAAGATCCTAATTTTAATATGTAAAAATATAATAAAATTATTAAATATTGAAGATACTTCCAATATCTATGAATTTAGATCTTATAACAATACTGATTCAAAATACTTTTCTTGGTCATGTAACAATGATTATCTATGTTATAGGCCTAATTCTGATTTTGTAATTAGACAAATATAAATTTAATAAAAAATTAAATTTGCAATTCTAGATAATAAAGTGCTTCAAATAAATTCCTTTGATTCTTAAAATAAAATCTTATTACGAAATTAAAGTGGTTCAGGTATTTTTAATTTTTTAACTTAAAAATTTGAATTATTTAAACAAGAATTTAAATAATCATCAATTTCATTTAATGGGTAATTAATTGCTTATAAAAACACGGAGTTTAATAATAACAAATTTGAATTTTATGACGTTTTGAAAGATAAATCGTTGACTGTATATTATGATAATTATACATACCCTATCCAATTTTCAAAAAACGGTGATTATTTGTGTGCTTATAAAAAAGATTAAAAATAAGTAATAATATTTTCTATTGATGAAAAAAAATAACTAAAAATGCTATGTTCTTTATAGTTTGGATCAGAATGTAAGAAAGTATCAGTTACTCCTTATTTTGGTTATATAGCTGTTATGTATTCAGAAAAGCTTAAATTAATGAATTTAAATTGGATATTAAAATCCTAAATGGTAATTATTAATGAACTAAAAAAAGGAAATGCCTATCATAGAAATTCTTTTCTATTATCTGATGATAATTCAATAATTTTTGCAACATCTGAAGCTATCAAGACATATAGATTGGATTTAAGAGATGATTTAAATACTTACACAAGTTTTTATGGTATTATTACTTGTTTTGTATAAATTGATAAAAACACTATTTGTATTGGTTAAAAGAATTAAATATATCTACTTAATATTAGTTAAGAAAGGTATAATTGCGAAAAAAAAACACCATTGGGAGAACATGAAAATGATATTACAAGTTTAATTTATTCTTAAAAAGCTTAATTATTAGCATCTAGTGAGGATTAAAAAATATTTTTATGGAATATTAATGCTAAAAAGAAAATAGCAGTATTTGAAGGTCATACAAGTGTTATTAATTAATTATCTTTTTCATCTGATGGTAAATGTTTGGCTTCTGCAAGTGATGACAAATAAATTAAATTATGGAATATTGAATTAAGTGAATAATAAAAAATATCAAAAGGACATTAAAAACGTGTAAGTTAAATTGCTTTCTCTAGAGATGGGCTAATTATTGCATCATCTAGTGACGATTAATCAATAATTTTATGGGATTTAATAGACAAGAACTTTATCATTTAGTTAGAAGAACATACTTCGTAAATAAAATGTTTATAATTCTCTTGTTGTTCTCAATGGTTGGCATCAGGAAGTTATGATGAATCAATTTGTTTGTGGGATGTTAAATTTCCACACGAAGCAACTCTATACTATAAAATATAGGAAATGTATTTAAATCCAGATGAATTACATTTTAGTCCATCAGGATCTTTTACTACTCTTACCAATGATAAAGGTGAATAAAATAAAAATAAAAATAATCAAGAAGAAAATGTAAAAGTTCATAAATTTTAAGTTTGGAATATGAATGAAATTGGTAAATAAGAGTATAAATTTGAACTCTCTTCATTTTATAATAATAATCTTATTTTCATATAGGATAATAATATTATTTTTTTTGGTGATGAAACATTAATTTAAGTTCATGATTTATCAAATAAGTAAAATGAAAATCTTGTAGGGCATTCTCATGTGGTAGTTATGATTAAATCTTGGAAGTATGGTGAAAAATTATTATCAGTAGATAGATAGAATAATGTGATTTTTTGGTAAAAAATAAACAATACTTGGATAATTTAATCAAAAATTAGTTTGAATTATTTTATTATTTAAATTGATATAATTTGGAATTATTATCAAGATTACATAGTATGTATGAATAGTGATTTAATAATGATATCAAAACTTGATTAAATGTAAGTTTAAAAACCTTCTATTGATATAAAATATAGCATGTACATTGCATGTAGTTATTTATCAAATAGTGAAAACTTTTTTATATTCCTAAATTATGATTATGAAATAACACTATTAAATAGTGTTACTGGAGAAATTTAAAATACATTTAAAAATCCTTACCATTAAACTGAAACAGCCTAAATTAAAATATCAAATGATGATAGATTTTTAGCTGTTTCTAATAAATATTCAATTTATGTCTTTGAAATCTCTGAAAAGTTAGAGAAAGAGATTCCTAATTTAGAAAGCAGTATACAACATTTTGAATTTAGCTGGGATGATTCAAATATTTTATATACAGTATCCGAATATAGCATAATTAAAAAGTGTGACATAAAAAATAATTCTAGTGAAATTATTCGGGTTATAGAAAGTTTAAATCCATATTGTAAAATTAGTTTTAATTTTTCATAGTAATGCAATTTTATAGTATACTCATAAAATAATAGCCCACTTAACATTGTTAATCTCAACGATAAAGATAATTATCAAATTCTTGATTTAAATGGTCTTGCAACAACTTTTTCTTTTAAAGAGATTTTAATGGCTACATTCACATAAGATTATAAGATTTATTTATTGAATCTTAAAGAAGAAATTTATAAAGAAAATAATATTAATATCATTTATAAAAAATAAATTGTAAACTTAACTTTTACAAATGATGACACTGAGTTGATTTGTTGTTTAAAAGATTCTATTTGTTTCTTTTAAATTTAAGAAGATCTTTAAATAAAATTAAAATATATTTGGAAGATAAATGATTAGAAATTTTATACTTTCTGTCCTAAACATTCATCAATTTTTTAAGTTTAGGGTAATGAAAATCAGATTGAATTTATATAACCTGTATAAACTTAACTTTTAATAGATGAACAACATAATCCTGTTAATTTTCACATTCCTTACGATAAAAATTTTATTGCATCGATAAGTAAATAAGGCATAATTATATGGGACTTTAAAGAAGAAAAATAAATATTAAATACTTCTTAATGGTGTGGTAACTAAGTCATGCTTATAGAATTAAAGACATTAATAATAAAATGTGATAAGGAAATCAAGATATTAGATATAAGAAATCTAGAGACAATTTAAGAAATTCACTCAATTTAGTTTAATAAATATATAAATAGTTTCTCATTTTCTTCAAGATAGGCATATTTTGTTTGCGGATTTGATACATAAATAAAAGTATGGAAAGTTTTAGATGATGGATAATGTCAATAAGTAGCTATTTATGATAAAAAAAATGAATATAATTCAGTTCTGGCTATTTCTCCTTTTGGTGATTTTTTAGTTTACAAATAAGAAAAAAAGTTGCAATTAGTTAGAATAAAGCAATCACATACAAAAGAGTTAGACGAAAAAGTAAGTGGCCTTTAATATTCATCAGATTACAAATATTTTATAACACTAATAAATGGAAATCCCTAATTATTTACTTCAACTTTAGATCAAATAGAAATTTAATTAGAAAACTCATTAGAAAATATAAATGGATAATGTATAAAATCGGCTTCCATAGATTCAATATTTGCAATTTTATGTGAAGCTTGTGTCTTAATAGTGAAAATTATAGATAATAAGAAGTTAACTTTGTTTAAGAACATTTAATTAGAAAAAATATAAAATATTATTTCTTTTGAAATAAATCCTTTAGGAACTCTATTAATTGCTGGTAATAAAGTTGGATCCATTTTCTTATGGGATTTAACATCATCTAATAATTAAATTATCGATAAACCAAATTTGGTTGTAGAAAATTAAAATCATCAAATTTATGATTTTAAATTTAGTCCTAATGGAATTGATATTTCAGCAGCAGTTTAAGATGGGTCTATAAATTTATATTCAGTGGAATAAATTAGTAATGATTAAATTATAAAATAAAGTGATGAAAAATAAGAAGTTTAAGAAAAGAATTAAGTTGCAGTAATTGAAAATATAAACAAATAATACAGATTAATTTGCTATAAATCATTTGCCAGATAATCTTTATTATTAGCCAATTAATGCATAGTGCTAAATGCGTAAATCAACTAAAATACAAAGTCAATTCTTTAACTATTCAAATAAAAAGGGGCGATTTGAGTTGACGAATGATATAAATTTAACAATAATACATTAGAATTTATAATAATTATTTAACCAATTAATTTATCAGAGTATAAATAAAATCTATATAAAAATATATCATAATAATTCCGTATTAAAAATTTGTTATTTTTCAACAAACTTTGGAATCACTCTTTTAAATAAATTTACTTTAGATTATAGCTATATTTCTTGATCTTATTTATTTGAATAAATTTAATTTAGTTTATTTACATATTTTAAGCTAAAATCTATAAATTAGAGGTAGAAAATATCCCTTCAACTACTTTTTCTTTAACCACTTAAAGTCTACCTTTCCATTCTTACCTAATTCTTTCTCAATTAATGATTAGTCTGTACTATCATTTACTTGCAGATATTTATAATTATTTTCAATTATTAGGATTATTTTACCTAAATTAGCATTAAGATTCGTATCTAAAGGATTTTAGAATTTATCAAATATAATCTATAATTTTAATTCATAAACTCATCTAATTCATCTTATCTCTATTTAAATCAGATTATATAAATCCAAGAATTAATCTATAGTATTCTCCTGGCTATTGATTTAACCTTCCTTCTAATTCAATTTTTCTTAATTTTTTCTATTTTATTATTTAATCAAATTACTCTTCTAGAGAGTTGTAAAAAAGCTTGATGAAACAAACTCTGATACTCACTTATAAAAATCATTAAAACTTACTTAATTCTCTTTTATTTAATATGTTATATATTTCAATTATCTAATAATAAAGGAGATAACTGACTGGAATTTTGTTGATGTGCATTGTTAGTTTTCGATGAAATTTTTAACCAGTTTTTAACTTAATCAAAGAAACATTTTAATATGTAAGTTGGAACACTTAAAGATTTTTTTAGTTTAGTCCATTCACTTTAAGATAAATCTGGTATTTATTACAAATAACTATTGGATCTCTATTATAATTGTATTCAGAGAAAACTCAACAATATATGTATTACATAATTTTTTTAATCAGAAAATAGATTATATATCATAATATATATTGATCATACCTCATTTATTATAGTGATTTAGCATTAAATTTTATAATATATTCTAAGAAGAAAATCTTTAATAAAATTTAAAATTTTCGAAAGTCACTAAAGGAATAATTCCAAAAAGTTCGATCAAATAAAAGAATAAAAAAGTAACCCTTGGAGATATTCAATCTATAAATCTGTACATAAGAAGAATTATTGTCATGGTTTTAGTTTGAAAGGTAAATCTAAATGGTTTAATTGATAAATTATATGTTTTGTATAACTCATCATCAAAAATGAAAATGTCCTTAAGCAAAAAATTTATAAGTTTAGATAAAAATTTGTAGCATTTATTGGAATAATGATTGATTATTATTTAAAAATGAAAAAAGCTCATAATTAATTTGGAACTGATGTCATGTTGAATAAAACATAATTACATTAATTCAAAGTAAGCAATTTCTTTATAAATCTATTTTTTTATTATTATAATAATAAAATTATGATAACTCACTTGAAATACATAATAATATTTAAAGAAATTAAAATATAAACTAACATTAAAGTTTGCTTGTTTTAACTATATAAAACTAAATTTAACTTATACCATTGTATATACAATTAATTACTTAAATAAATGAACCTGAAAATTGTAATTAGATTAATTGTTAATAGGTTTCAATATGGGTAGGATATAATTTGGTTATTTATTTATGAATCACTTATTTATTATTGTAAATAAATTAGAAAATTCGATANCCTTCCTTCTAATTCAATTTTTCTTAATTTTTTCTATTTTATTATTTAATCAAATTACTCTTCTAGAGAGTTGTAAAAAAGCTTGATGAAACAAACTCTGATACTCACTTATAAAAATCATTAAAACTTACTTAATTCTCTTTTATTTAATATGTTATATATTTCAATTATCTAATAATAAAGGAGATAACTGACTGGAATTTTGTTGATGTGCATTGTTAGTTTTCGATGAAATTTTTAACCAGTTTTTAACTTAATCAAAGAAACATTTTAATATGTAAGTTGGAACACTTAAAGATTTTTTTAGTTTAGTCCATTCACTTTAAGATAAATCTGGTATTTATTACAAATAACTATTGGATCTCTATTATAATTGTATTCAGAGAAAACTCAACAATATATGTATTACATAATTTTTTTAATCAGAAAATAGATTATATATCATAATATATATTGATCATACCTCATTTATTATAGTGATTTAGCATTAAATTTTATAATATATTCTAAGAAGAAAATCTTTAATAAAATTTAAAATTTTCGAAAGTCACTAAAGGAATAATTCCAAAAAGTTCGATCAAATAAAAGAATAAAAAAGTAACCCTTGGAGATATTCAATCTATAAATCTGTACATAAGAAGAATTATTGTCATGGTTTTAGTTTGAAAGGTAAATCTAAATGGTTTAATTGATAAATTATATGTTTTGTATAACTCATCATCAAAAATGAAAATGTCCTTAAGCAAAAAATTTATAAGTTTAGATAAAAATTTGTAGCATTTATTGGAATAATGATTGATTATTATTTAAAAATGAAAAAAGCTCATAATTAATTTGGAACTGATGTCATGTTGAATAAAACATAATTACATTAATTCAAAGTAAGCAATTTCTTTATAAATCTATTTTTTTATTATTATAATAATAAAATTATGATAACTCACTTGAAATACATAATAATATTTAAAGAAATTAAAATATAAACTAACATTAAAGTTTGCTTGTTTTAACTATATAAAACTAAATTTAACTTATACCATTGTATATACAATTAATTACTTAAATAAATGAACCTGAAAATTGTAATTAGATTAATTGTTAATAGGTTTCAATATGGGTAGGATATAATTTGGTTATTTATTTATGAATCACTTATTTATTATTGTAAATAAATTAGAAAATTCGATATTTTCAGTGATAATAATAAAGAATTTGGATCTTAAGATAATTAAAAATGCAAAGGTAATATTATAATATAATTTTAAAAAATCAATTTTTAACAAAAGCAATTAGAAATGATTATATAGAAATTAATATATATATATTGATATAAAGTAAGATAAAATGATAAATAATATATATTATTATGTAAATGGAATTAAAATGTAATTAAAATGGACATTAATTCTCTCCTGTTTAAACTATATGTTGCAAAATAGATTGCTAAAAATCAAGGCCAGCTTGTGCATAATGTATGATTGAAAATCACCATAATCATATTAAAGAGTTGAAAAGCATTTATGTATTTAAGGAATGGTCATAGTCAAAATAAATCATCTATCAAAAACTAAAGTCGTTATAGAATGATTTATTGGAGTTCGTTTCTGAAATTGATCAACTTATTAGATCTGTTACAATAGATTCCACTTAAATAATGGAGAATTGTAATCTAAGAGAATTAGAAGAATTTGTCAATAAATTTATTTAATTAGATTAAATAGAGCGCACAGGAGTAATTAATTAAACAATACCAATTCTAACACAAGCTATTACATCTTTCAAATAAGAAATTAAAAGTTTAAAAGGCAAAACTAATTCATTTTATTATAATAGATAAAATTTTGGTAAAATATAAACTTAAAATTCTAATAAATAAGTTCTAGATCTATCAAAACTTAGAATGTTATTGATTATAACCTGTCCTCCTGATTGTATATGTGGCCATTTAGAAATGAGGAGATGGCATTGCAATTGTGGTTAATCATACTATTTGGATGAAGATGGAAATATAATTTGCCTTAAATGTCAAACAAAATGTTTCATAAAGGATTTTAAATTTTAATGTGAAAAAGCTAAATAGAAGCAAGTCCATTTTTATTTTAGAAGTTGTTCATAAGTCTTAATGGCATTAGCTTCCAGTATTGAAAGTTCAGATTTATAATTCTCTGAAAATAATCATCTGAGATTTGCTAGCTCAATAAATATGAATCTCATCAAGAGATGGAACGAATGAATTATATAATATTAAATTAAAAAATAAATAAATAACTAATACTTTCTTGTTGATTTTTAGAGTTTAAGGGTTTTATTTTCTGTGTTTTTTTCTAATGTTCCTAGATTAGTTTGTGCTTACAAAAATAAAATTGTTTTAGTTAACTTAAAAAATGACATAAGGAAAGATATTGGAAGAATGAGCAACTAGTTTTTTATATCTAATCAAATAGAGGAAATTCTTAACCTTTATTTTAATTTATGAGTCATAATGATTCAAAGTGTTTATGGGTTTATAAAGTATCTATATATTAGTTTATAGAAAATCATAATCAAAAATATGTGTGTAACATAACACAAATTAATATTTAACTAATAATTCTAACACTCTTCTGGTTTTTTCTCAAACATAAATCTGCATTTTAACATTCTTCATCAATTATTTAAAGGCTAAGTTCTCATTGTATGTTAATTTTAGTTAGTATATTATTCTATTTGAAGTTTATATCAAGAACATCTTTAAAAATATCAGCGATGAAAAAGAAAATTGAATTACAAAGCTAAAAAAAGTAATATTTTTCTTTTTCATTTTTTAAAATTTCTTTTATATTTATAATTCTCATACTCATTAATATATGAAATTAATTATCTATATTGTTTTATAATACAAAAATATACTTACAATTTAAAAATTAGATTTATTCTAAAGTTGAAATTTAATTTGGATCAAGTTTTTTAATCAATTTAAATGTCTGACAACAAGAATTAAATCATCACTAGTTTTGCATGACCAAAATCATCTTATTTATTAGAGTTAAAATTAAAGGAAATAAATCTAAATGTCTTTTTTAGAGGATAATATATAATTAACAATAAATTGATCATATACAATTTTAATGATAACTCTAAAAAAAAATAGTTTATGTCAAAAAAAAGAGAAAATTTTTTGTCTAAATTTAATTATTAAAAAATAATTAACTAATCAACTAAATACAAATTAAATTTTTTACCTTTGCCCATAATGAAGTTTAATACAATCTCACCATTCATGTAAACATAAAATAATGTTGAATTATCCACTCATATATGATATAAATATCTCATAATTCTCNTTTTATTTTAGAAGTTGTTCATAAGTCTTAATGGCATTAGCTTCCAGTATTGAAAGTTCAGATTTATAATTCTCTGAAAATAATCATCTGAGATTTGCTAGCTCAATAAATATGAATCTCATCAAGAGATGGAACGAATGAATTATATAATATTAAATTAAAAAATAAATAAATAACTAATACTTTCTTGTTGATTTTTAGAGTTTAAGGGTTTTATTTTCTGTGTTTTTTTCTAATGTTCCTAGATTAGTTTGTGCTTACAAAAATAAAATTGTTTTAGTTAACTTAAAAAATGACATAAGGAAAGATATTGGAAGAATGAGCAACTAGTTTTTTATATCTAATCAAATAGAGGAAATTCTTAACCTTTATTTTAATTTATGAGTCATAATGATTCAAAGTGTTTATGGGTTTATAAAGTATCTATATATTAGTTTATAGAAAATCATAATCAAAAATATGTGTGTAACATAACACAAATTAATATTTAACTAATAATTCTAACACTCTTCTGGTTTTTTCTCAAACATAAATCTGCATTTTAACATTCTTCATCAATTATTTAAAGGCTAAGTTCTCATTGTATGTTAATTTTAGTTAGTATATTATTCTATTTGAAGTTTATATCAAGAACATCTTTAAAAATATCAGCGATGAAAAAGAAAATTGAATTACAAAGCTAAAAAAAGTAATATTTTTCTTTTTCATTTTTTAAAATTTCTTTTATATTTATAATTCTCATACTCATTAATATATGAAATTAATTATCTATATTGTTTTATAATACAAAAATATACTTACAATTTAAAAATTAGATTTATTCTAAAGTTGAAATTTAATTTGGATCAAGTTTTTTAATCAATTTAAATGTCTGACAACAAGAATTAAATCATCACTAGTTTTGCATGACCAAAATCATCTTATTTATTAGAGTTAAAATTAAAGGAAATAAATCTAAATGTCTTTTTTAGAGGATAATATATAATTAACAATAAATTGATCATATACAATTTTAATGATAACTCTAAAAAAAAATAGTTTATGTCAAAAAAAAGAGAAAATTTTTTGTCTAAATTTAATTATTAAAAAATAATTAACTAATCAACTAAATACAAATTAAATTTTTTACCTTTGCCCATAATGAAGTTTAATACAATCTCACCATTCATGTAAACATAAAATAATGTTGAATTATCCACTCATATATGATATAAATATCTCATAATTCTCTAAAGTATTATCAACTATATTAATTTTTTATTGATCAATAATATTTAAAAACGTATATTAAATAAAATATTAATCTTTTTACATTATTATCCATTAAATTTTCAATGTATTAATAAGGAAAATTTTATATCATAATAGTTATAAAATAAAATTCAAATTAAATCAAAAAGATAATTTAGATTCTACAAAAATTAATTAATTAATAATCGATCTCAAAAAGATGCCATAAGTTCAATGTCTTAATTAAAGTAAACAAGTTAGATGTTTTCTCTCTTCTCATACTTTAAACTAATTTATATTGCTTTATTAAAGTAATCAAAAACTGTATCACATCATTTTTCCATATTTATATAATAATTATTCATTAATAAATCCTTAAAAATAAATAGAAATAAATACATTTTTAAACTATGATTCATCAAAATTAGGATTGATCAATATTGAATTATTTCAAATATAGATTGCTTTTTTTATGTCTTTTTAATTCCACTAAAAATATTCTCAATTTTGTTTCTATATATAATAGTTAATTTATTACATACCTCTTTGAAAATTAAGCTTGAATACTTTAATATTCATCATATCTTTTTAAATTTTTTATTATACTACTTTAATTAAAAAATTAAACAATTTCATTAACTAAGAAAAAAAATAGTAATATTATTCTATTTAATCATTTTTTTTTTGGTTAAATTTATTTTAAGATCAATAGACTTATTTTGTACATGTGGATCTTAATGAATTAACATATAGAAAACTTTTTTCTTTGTGGTTAATTGAAATACAAGAATTTCTATAACCAAAAAAATTAATAGCAATAGAATGGAAATTTAATATTGACGAACTTGTTTAAAATTATTTTATCAACTACAGATACATTTGACCAAACCGTGTTTCATCTTTAGTTTATACCAGAAAAATTAAGTCTACAGATACATTTAAATACTATATAAAATATAACGGTGTCTTTAAAACCAACCAACTCAATACGAACAGATATTGACTATAGTTAATATCAATCCCTTTATTAATTTGATTAATAGATATTATTTGAACTCATTAAATAAATAAATTCTCGAACTCTTCAATGCTTAGAGAATTTATAGCAATTTTTTTACCATTTAAATCTACAATTTTTTCATCATATCTCTTTTTTATTTTTTTAAATAATCCATTATCTTTAAAATTGACTTTTGTCAATTCCTCTTTAAGATGTTTAAGATGCACTTTTGTCAATTTCAAAGATGATTTTAAAATAAGAATTACTTTTCCCTGAAGATCTTATAATAGGTTTAAGTTTTCTTGAGTGAGTTCATTATTAATTTCGTAAATTATAAAAATGTAGCCAACTTCTTTTTCGAATTATTTGTTAGGTAGTTCTTATATTCTTTCAAATTATTTTTCGATAATTTCAATGTTCTTAAATTTATTATGTTCGCTGAATTTCAGGTATCTATACTACAACATGAATTCAAATATATTACTTAAAAATATAATGCAACTTATTTTGCAAATTCGACCACAAAATAATCTATTTTTTAATTATGAGTAATTTATGTTATTTAATTTATTTAATTCATTTGAGCAAATTATTTCTCTAACCATTAATATATTTTGAAAGCTTATTATTTGCAACAAATAAATAGTTTTTCATCCCATTTGAATTTCCAATCTTTTTAACAAATTTCATCCAGTTTGCCAAGTTGAATGTCTTCAAAAACCTTTTATTCGTCATCATTTTTGCCTCGAAAAATTTGAAATTTTTCTGATTCAGTATGTTCAATTTCATATATTTCATCATTTTCACCATTTAATTATTTTGACAGTTCACAACAACATGCCCTTATAATCTCTTTATTTTCTAATAGTTTATGTAATGCTTTTTTTTATTATTCATTTTTCAAATGAACTTTCAAAGCGTCTATTATTTTACAACCACTCAAATGCTATATTTTATCTTTTATCAACTCAGATTTGCATTAACATGATTATTTTCGCTCACAAAAAAAACAATATTTCTTTTAGTCTTTATTTTAAAATAAGCAATTATGATGAGAATGACTACAACAACATTAATTATTTTTATCCTTAAGTTGGTCTTTCACAAATTTCTTGGCACATTCATGACTTTCACGTATAGTTTTGTTTTTCAATAAATGTTCGTATAAAGACGAGAAGTAATTTTTACTTGCCTCCTCTTCCATTTTTAATTCTTATGTTTTAACTGCAATTGTTATTGCATATTTTTAAGTTTAATCTGCAAATGCTTGACCATGACAACAGGATAATAATATTAGTTTCAGTCCATTCTATTTTTCAAATTGTTCACTAAATTTCAATGTGTGGAGTTCCTACAATAAACCATTCCCCTCAAAACCTAAATGTTAGTTTGATTCATCATTTTCACCGTGACATGTGATGTGAATAATTTTTGGAGTTGGATTGCAACTCAAAACGTCTTTCAAATTTTATAGATTTGCTTGAGTAATTAGATATCTAACTTTTACATTTAACTTATCTCCTGCTTTTTTAAATTCCTCTATTTCATCATAATAGTCAACTGAGTCATAAGGGTTATTTTTATTTTTTAAAATTGGATTACTATACAAAATAGCAATATCTATCTAACCATGCGGATATTTTTTTCCTTTTTTATATTCACTGTATTTTTCTTTAATTTCTTCTAACTGTTTTTGATAATTTTATTGAATTTCTTATAATTTTTAAATCTATTTGAATTATTCCATTTACTTATTTTGAAATTCATGATAATAAATTTTCATCTTTAATTTAATAATCAATGGTAAACAATAGCACTTATGATTATAAAAAAATTATCCATTACTCTCAAGCATAATGAAACCATTATTATCACTTAAGTTAGATATTTAGATGAATTAATTAATCAAGTAATCGTAGAACACTAGATTATAAAACATTTATTTACTGATAATTAATTCTGAAACTTCTTCTATTTCTTTTATTTCCTTTTTCTTTTCAATATAGTTTTTTAATCTTTTCACATTGATTCCTTGATTGTTTTGTTTTTTTTACAAAGGAAAAAAATCATAACCATTTTTCTCGAAATTTGTTTTTAAAAAAACTTCTGGATTCTCAAAAAATTCCTCTTCGTCATTCGGTATTATTCCTAAAAATATAAGTTGAACGACAATTGGGTTTTTCATAATTTTTTTATAAATTATTTATCAAAAAAACAATTTTATGCAAAAGATGCATATATTTTAGGGAAATTTGTTTATAAATGCAATATAATTTTAGATTAATCTAAAATACTTAAACTTAAAACAGAATCCTTATCAAGGTTATTAAAAATAAATTTTCTTAATATCACTATAGAACCTAATTATATATTATTCGATTGTCTATCTTTTCTATTATATTTGATTCTAAATTATAATAACTGGAAATCAAGAGGATAATCCATAAATTAGACATTTTGAACAAAGCTACTTGTAATATCTCAAATAAAATGCAAAGTTCTTTCATACAACCTTCATGAAATTTATTAAATTCATAATAAAGCAAAGTATATTTTAAGAAGAAAATTGAAAAAAAAAGTTAAAGAAATATTGAATAAGTTTGTTAAAAAGATTTTAATAAATTTCATATTTACTTAATTCATAATTTTAAAAACAAAAAGTTCAAAAGCTAGATATATTTTCATATCTCAAAATTTTAATAAATAAAGGTTTCTAATTCATTATTCAATAATACAGAAATTAAAATCAAAAATAAATATGAATAAGTAATTTATATACAATCCCATCCAGACTTAACTCAATAATATTGTTGAGTTTTTTATAGATTTCTTTCATAAAAGAATTGCTTTTAGAGCTTGAAAATACTATCTATTTTTTTATATTGCTGATTGATGTAAATTTTAAGGCATTTTTTATATCTTCTAACAAGAATTAGATACTTTTATATAAATAATTTTATGAAAAGTTATCTAAATTTATCATTTAAGTTACTTTTGTTAAGTTTTTCTTTTTTTGAAATATCCATTAGAATTAGATTTAATAATTGATAAAAGATAGAAAATTTTCAACTATTGGAAATTATCATTTATTTATATCTAACTTATCTGTAGATAATTTCTCAAATTGATACTTAATTTCTTTGAGTACTAATTTTTGATAAGCTTCAACACATAACATTCCCAAAAAATATGAGAATATAATCTAAATTAATTTATATATAATAATAAAATTATCATACATTTTTATTTTTTTTATCATTATGACACTAGAAACTAAATATATTTATTAAGAGGTCTTAATCCCTTCTTTGTAATTAAGTTAAACAAAATATTTTCAAACATTTATGAAATTTGTAATGGATTGTTTACAAATAACTTCTCTAAATTTTGAAGTCTAATTTTTTTTCTTCATAATAAATGCTGAATGAAAATTAATTATAAATATAAATAATGGGATGCACAATTTATCAATAAGAGAAATTTGATTATGATTAATCAATCTAATATCTATTTAATGAACCTTATAAGAATAATCATTTCAAATAAAGATTAGAAATTTGCAATTAGCCTGAATTTCTTGATGAAACATTCTAAAGAATTAATATGAATTTATCCTAAGATCAAAAGAGGTTCCAACCATAAAAAAATTATAAATGGAAGCGTTTAACCCAATAAAATATAGATCATAACTTATGCCATGTATGAGTAGAATTGAACAATAGGATTTTAGATATACTTAAATTAGAAAAGGGGAATTGAATAATAATAATTTTTTAAATGGTCTGAGAATTCTTTCGTTTTAAGATATAACTATAAAAAAGGTATTTTTAACAAAAAGTATAAAAAACAATAGTTGTCTTATATTAATATTAAATTAATAAGGTTTATGGTAATAAATAATAATAGATGATTATTTACCTTACAATATGAACGATTATCCACTTTTCTCTTATTATGATGGAAATGATTGTTGGGTATAATTAATTGAGAAAGCTTTTGCTAAGATTTATGGTTGTTTTGATAAACTTGAATAGATTGTAGAAGCAAATGAAATAATAAGAGATATAACAGGAGCTCCATATTTAATTTTGGATGTAGAAGAGTTTATTTAGAAAGTGAAGAATTCTTAAAATAAATAGTGGATGTTTTATTTGATGAATGAAAAAAAAGAGATATTTTTATTTAAAAAATTTGAAGAGAAAATGTTTTGTTTAGATTTAAGTAGGGATGTTTAATAGTAAATTAATGATTTTTAAAATTACCAATTATATTACATTCCTTTTGATCCATAATACATTTAAATAGTTTAATAAATATCAATTCCAATTAGGAATCAGTAAGTTAAATATGTAATAGAAATGAAAGTAAATAAATAATCTCATTCATTTATAACAGTTTCATAAAGAGACTTAAAATTTGGATGTAAAGATTATTATGGTTAACTTCATATGATAATTTATGACAAGAATAATGGTAACAATAAAGAATTAAAAAGGATTTATAGTAAATATTAGTAAGTGAGAGATTTAACAATTGAATGTGATTTGGCAATAGGATAATATTTAATTTATATAGAAGCATTTTGGGATTAGTAAACAGATTATTCATTAAATATTTAATCTTATGGAAGTGGATAAGTATTTTTTAAATAATTGGAGAAAATGGAAGAAAAAGAAAAGTTAGAATTATTGCATGAGATGATAATTTATCATTCAGTTGATTAAAATAAAAGTATATATGGGAATGATCAATTATATAGTGTAAAATCATAAATAGGGAGATATAAATATTTACTTTTTGAAAATAAAACTTTTGATTTAACATTAAAAATAAATTTGTAATATAAGTTACATTTAGTAATGGTGAATTATCCTTACAATGATTTGTAGGTACAATAGTTATAAATTCTACCTAATGAAAGGAAATTGTTGACATTTTAGATACTTTTAGAAAAGAATGATAAACATTAGTTTGAAGTATAGGAAAAAGATTTTGAAATACTTGAACGTTTAAGAGATAATGAAATAATAGAAAAAGCAATGAAGGAACCTACTTAAATAATTTATAGAAATTCAGAGATGAAAATATATAATTATAGATTGGAGGATGAATGCGCTTTGGTTTATGTAAATGATTCTGAATAGAAATATATTGAATAGAATAAGATTAAGTTAATAAATTTAAGTTATAAGGGAAATAAAAACCCAGGTCTATTACATATAGAATTATAGCCAAAAGAAAAATAATTGTTTCGATTTTATATAGTTGATAGAAACGAAAAGTAATATGAATTTGAGTGCAATTAATAATATAGATTTGAGTGATGATTGATCATTTTCAACAACATCCATCTTTTTATTATTATTATTATTATTATTATGATTATGGTAGGTGTTAAACTAGAGGTTTAGAATTAATTGAAACAGTTTAATTGATTGCATTAGATTAATTTTCCTATTCTTTTTTAAGTATTTCACTACCAACAAGTTCAAATAATTCAATGATGCCATTTTTTTCTTTAGCTGATACTAGTCTTAAAAAGCATCCATAATTCTATATTATAAGATAATAAAATATAATTACTTCAGCTAATTGTTTAGCAGCATCATAACTCACTTCTTCTTTGTCTACTTAATCTATTTTATTGCCAACTATAAACTTTACTTAAATTAATAGATAAAAAATACATGCATTTTCACTATTTTCATTTAATTCATTAATCCAATCTGTTACTCTTTAGAAAGATTTATAATTTGTAGTATCATAAACTAAAAGTGCTGCATTTGAATCTCTATAATATAACTTTGCCAAAGACTTAAACTTCTCTTATCCTGCTGTATCCCAAATCTATTATTAAATATACAATCTTACAGCAAAGTTGATTTAATGATTCTCAATTTTACAACTTTAAGAATGATAATTCGCTCCTGATGTAGCATTTTCATATGCATTAAATTCCTTTTTCACATAAACATTAGCAATCGATGTTTTACCTACTCCTTTCAATTATAATATATCAATATACCTTGATCACCTAGAAGAACAATCTTAAATTGTTTGTCTCTGTTCATTAATTTAATTATGTATATAATTCTCTATTAGAACAACTAATCGGATTTATTATTACGACTTATATATTATTAATCATATCTCTACATATATCCATTAAATCATATCAAAAAAACTTATGAAGATTAAGGAATTCAAACTAGTATCTTTTGATAATAGAAAATCAAGAATTTAAACTATTACTATACAAATATAATAATGTTAAAATTCTTTTTTAAAAAGTAATTAAATTATCTCATTTGCATGTAACAATCCTAAATTGTTCAAAAGATCAAAATCTCAGATAAAGAAAATCAAATCTTCAAAACTATAATGTAATTTAGAAATGATACCAACATATAATCAATCTTAAGGGTAGCAGGTGGATGGGTTAGAGATAAATTAATGGGAAATGAATCTCATGATATAGATATTACTATTGATAATATGAGTGGAGAATAGTTTGTATTAAAAATGAAAGAATATTTCGAATCAAAAAATATTAAAGTGAGTGGTTTTGGAGTAACCAGATTAAATCCAGAATAATCAAAGCATTTAGAGACTGCCTGTATTAAAATATTGGATCAATCTATTGATTTTGTTAATCTAAGAGGAGAAACCTATACTGAAAATTCAAGAATTAATTAAATAATTATAGGTACTCCAGAATAAGATGCCTTTAGAAGAGATTTAACTATTAATTCTTTATTTTATAATTTAAATACTCAAGAAATTGAAGATTTTACTAAAATGGGATTGTAAGATCTATAAAATGGAATCATTAGAACACCATTAGAACCATAAATCACATTTAATGATGATCCCTTGAGAGTACTAAGAACATTTAGATTTGCTTGTAGATTTGGATTTTAAATCTCACAAGAAATTCTTAAAGTTATTGAATTATTTGATATTAAGACAGCTTTGAAAACAAAAGTAAGTAAGGAGAGAATAAGTATTGAAATTGATTGGATGTTAAAATCATCAAAATGTCTTGAAGGATTTAAATACTATCATTCATTAGGACTTTGGCATATTATTTTTTAATTACCCAATGATAATCAATCATAGTGTAGTGTAAAAATTGATGATTAAGGAAAATATCATCTAGAATCATATGAATTTTTGCTCAATCTATACTAATTAAAATATTTGCCCTAATTTCAAAATATATTTGGCTTCGAAAATTAGGAATAATTAAATTTTTATTTAAACCTATGTAGCATTTGTATGCCTTATTACAATATCACTTATAAAAAAGGTAAGAATTTTGAAAGTGCCATTATCTATATAATAGCAGAATCTTTAAAAGTATTATCATTTTTTAATATTTCAGATGTCCAGAAAATAAACTGATGATGTTTACAATGCATGTCGATTAGTAGAAAAATTCAACTAATTAAAAAATGAATAAATAAATAATAATTATAAAAATTTGGGTAAACTATTTTAATAACAAATAGTCAATTTTTTATAAGAAGCTAGACACCAATGGGAATTAATCATATATTTAGATTACATATAAGAATTTATCAAAAATCCTGATGTATCATTTTAATTACATGAACAATTTAAAAATTTCATCTATTAATAAAATTTATAAGAATTTTATAATGTTAAAGCTTTGATAGATGTAAATGTCAATATTTATATTAGGGTAATGAAATAAAATAAATTTGGAAAGTAGAGTCTAAATAAATAAGAGATGTCAAATAAAACATTTTAATTTGGTAAGCTATGAATCCAAAAGCAACTAAAGAAGATCTTTAAAAATACGTAGAATAAAATAAGGAATAATTCATAATTAATTAATGATTATTATTTTTTAATATATAATTTTTGTATGAGCTTAATAAACAACAATTAAAATCTTTAATTAAATTTTGTATTTAATATGATTTTTTAATTCTGTTTTAATAATGATATACTATATTATTTTCTATGTACAAAATAAGATATTGAAAAGAAAGATTTTTAAAATGATTGAAAAGCTGTTAAAAATGATAATAATAAAGTCTAAAGCAATTTTTTGCTGAGAAGAATTAGAATTTTGAATAAAATTAAAAATATAAATTCGTGTAATGCACTGTACAAATGTTGAAAATGAATAAACATCAAAATCCAATAGATAATCTTCAGAAACATTGCCTACTATTCGTAAAAGAATCTAGAAAAGAACTGAAAAAGGTCTAATAGATGCCACATTCAAACAATTGTATAAATAGAACAAACTTGATGAAATAGTAACTAAAGCCCAAGAAAACAATGAAAGTATTTATGAAGAGTATGATGAAATAAAAATTCATGGAACCACATGGAAAATCAATGATAATGTCATCATAAGAAATGGTGACGATTTTATTGAAGATTATGTTGGAACAATTTAGAAAATTTGTTCTGTTTTAGAACCTTCGTCTAAAAAGTTAATTTGTCTGTGCAAAGTTTAATGGTACATGAGAAAAAGTGATATTATAATTCATAAGCCAAGAGCTCGATAATGGATTGGAACTCAAGAGGTTTTTTCAACAAAAACAAATAATTATATACTTGCATAGACTATAATGTAAAAGTGTACAATAGTTGATTGTGAAGAATTTGTCAATATGTAAAAATGTGATTCTACCGCATATTTTAACAGACTTGAATGGGATGTTGAAAATAAAAAATTTACTAATATGAATAAGATCTAGTTATATTGTCTATGCCAATAGCCATGGAATCCTGAACTCAATTACATTTAAGTAATTTTTAAATTCTATTTTTTAGTGTGACAAATGTAAGAAATGGTATCACTTTTAATGTGTAGATTTAGTAATTGAATGCTACGACGATAAAGATTATATATGTGGCTATTGCAATTGATTTTCTATCTTTGTATTAAAGTCTTTCTTATTATATATTTATAAACATTTATTTAAATAAGATTACCATACCTAAAGCATTTATGAAAATAATCAACCAATAAAATTTAATACAAAGAAAACTATGCGATTAACAATTTATTTTTTCTGGAGAGTTTGTAAAAATCAAAGGAGATTCTATCAATAAAATAATATTATCTAACAAATTAATTAAATTCATGATATTTTCAATCTATTTCATAATCTGCTAAAGAGTTTTCATTCATAGATATACTCACATTATGAACGAAATTCAAAATGATAAATCAAGTAGTATAAAAGTCAAATAATTCCCTATGAGTATTAAATTATTTTTATTTTGAGAGAAAAATTATTTAAATTAGAAATTTTTAAACATATTTTTGAAGAGTATTATTTATAAGATCACTTATTTACAAATAATTCTAATCCTGCTTAAATCAAAAAAAGATTGTATATCAAAAAATAATATTGTATTTATTTAAAAAATTTCTTAGCCTAAAAATAAGGATTTTTGAATGAAACTGTTTTGATAAAAAGGATCAGAAAGTAAATAATTTCTTTATCAAAAGTGTATAATAAATATAAATAACAAATCCATAAAGTTGAACACAAAAAATTAGTTGATATGAATAAACTATGATAAAATAATAATTAAAATAAAATTAAATGAATAATAGTTGTGATTTAGAATTAAAATCATAAATATTATAATTGTAAAATGATAAAGATAGGATTAAAAATTAGTATTAAATTGAGATTCTCGAAATGAATACGAAAATCTAAGAACTAGAAACTAAGCTACAAATACAAAAGGAGGAATAAATGAAATTAAAACAAGAAAATTTATAATTGGAAAATCATCTTTCTAAAATTGATAGTAAAATAGTTGAAACAAATCCTAAAGAATAATGTTGTTGTTTGCATTAAAAATAATAAAATAATAAAAAAAAAATTTAATATCTGATAGAAAAGCTAAATGTTAAATCAACATAAAATGCTAAATTGCACTATGAATTAATTAAATTATAAAATAATGTAATATTGGTTTAAATTAATAGGTTGAATTGCTTGAAACTCAAACAATTCTTCAATCAAATAATAATAAATAAATAATAAAGCAAGATAAATAATCCATCAGTGATGTTTATTAATATTTAGATAGAGAAGTTCAAGCTCCAATTTAAATTTAAAATAAAATTGAAAATATAAAGACTAGTATGGTGATGTAATAGAAATAATCACTTTCTAACTAAAGCATAAATCATTCATAATCAGATTAAAATAAGAATATGAACTTGTATTTCTTCTACTAAACAAAATCTTAGTTCAACTTTAATTACTCCTTAAGCCAAGAAAAATAATGTATCTAATTCAATTCACAAAAACTTGACTTTACATTAAGCTAAAACTGTTAATTTTAAAGAGGACATTATTTAATAAACTAGAAAAATACAGTATAATTTTTTAATTTAAATTAGAAGCACTAAAAATTCAATATCTATAGGAGAATTAAATATTTTTAAGCAAGACTAAAGAAATTATTAAAACATTTTATAGAAAATGATGAAAAAGGAATCTTTATATTCACCTGGAAAATAAATTCATGCAACCTAAAAATTTAAGGAGGTTTTAGATTCTAAATTAAATAATATATCTGATAAACAAAAATCATATTGTAGCTTATTATTTTCTGGAAGGGATTTTTATATAACTAGAAATGGGAATGCATATCCTAGATAAAATTCTCTTCATATTAATGAAGATAGATAATATAAGTCTAAGTAATAATTTATTAATTAACTTTTAAATAGATTATTTTCTTAAAAACTACATTTAAATTCAAGAAAGTAATCAGAGACTATAAAATCTGAAGAGTCTTAAAAATTATGCACTGATTAAAACAAATATTAAAATTTATTCGAATGCATAAATTATAAAAAGAAAGGTAAAATTAAATTCAATCTAGATATTTTTTAAATGATGAAAGACATTCATAATCAAAATATTCGAAGTAGTTATGCAGATAATAATTATTAGTTTCAGGAAAAATAAATTATAAAAAAAAATTCAATGCAAAATATGAATAGTAATATAATCTTCATTAGTAGAAGTACAAAGTGTTTTGACGAAGAAACTAAAAAAAATATAAAATATATTTTTGTTTTAAATAATGTTTAATTACTTCTATCTTTGAATTTCTCATATAAATCATATTAATTTAAGGATAATGTGTTCAATTTGTAGATATATAAAGAGAATGTTATTATTTATTAAAAAAATTTAATTATTTTTGCTAAATATTGCATTTTAATGAAATGAGTTAAGGGATTTTGAAAAAGTGATTGATATTAACATATATTTTATGTTTTTGATGTTTATTTGTAATAATTGATAATGCTCATATTTATCCCAAATACAATAATCTTCTACATTGTGGATTAGCCTCAATATATTTATCTAAGTTTTGTTAAGCACTAATAATTATTAATTTATCTTTACTTTGGTTCTTCTAGGTGTACTTTAGCAATTAATTTTAAACATTCAGCTTCATCTTTTGGAAATGCTGCAGCATTTTATTCTAAAACTCTAAAAATTAAGAATAATATTTACTTTAATTTTCTTAAGACTTCAATTCTATCCAACTAGTAAATGATTTAATGTGGGTCAATATTTTAATTATCTATAATGACATAAATGATAATACTTAATCCTGTTCTCTAAAATTGGGTAATTACATTATATTCCATTTTTTAGAATTCATCTAATGAGAATCTAGTGATATTTTATAGATTCTAATCTTTTTTGGCATAGCTATTTTTTCTAAAATTTATACTGTAAGTAAGATTAATGTTTGGTGTGATTCTGTACTAAGGTTTCATTTCTTGTTGTGCATGTGTATGGTAAGAATTTGGCTTCAACATTAAAAATTCTATGATTTTCTATTTATGATACCTATGAACGGTATTGAAAGCCTAGAACAATCTGTTTCTGATAGCCATTTTTTATTTTAAATAATATGATATATATATAATTTATTTTTGATTTACATTTGTAATACTTCAATCATACACTAAAATACATTAATTTCATTCCACTTATACTAAAGGATAAAGATATTTGTTATAGACTGTTTTCTATAAACTTATTAATGATCAATAATAATAGACTTTATAACAAGGTCAATTGAATCAAAATTATTATAATATTATAATCAATTAAGATCATTTCTATATAGATAATATTAATTGCAAGTATCATGAACTAAACTTATAAATGTCATAAAATTAATTTTATTATTATTTGCTTCAATTTTAATATATTTTGTTTATATTTTACTAATAGAATAAGTTTATTTGATTATTCTATTCAATAAATTTGAATTAAATTTAAGATTGATCAATCTAAATTACAAATTTCTTCATTTTATAATTAATTTAATAACAAAAATTCACAACGGATACTCATTGAACTAATTAATTATATAATTTTAAATAATTAATTTAAAACTATGTTTGAATTATGTGCTATTGTAGGATTTGATAGAGATAGATAAAAGTAAATAAAATAAATATATTAGAGCCTAATTTGGATTTGCTATTAAAAAATGAATATGAACCAGAAATATTAGAAATATATCCTGGTAATCTTAAAAAGTCTGCAATAATTTCACATTTAGTTTAATAATGTTTTTCTCAAGGATAGCCTTCATTATATTCTCATGAGAATAAATTAATATACCTTATAAAATTGAATTCTAAAGATGATATAATCTAAAATTCATTAATTTTTAGTTCAGTTAGATAACTAAACCTAGAAATTTTATTAAGTGTTATCATTTTATGTAATGATAATTTGATTAATTAGGAATAAGCATATATTTAAAATACTGAAACTTTGGCTGGTAAGAGAACAAAGAATATTACATGGTCTCCTTAATTAGATATCTCAGAATTAATTAATAGTAAATAAGTGACAGCTATAAAATCAACATTACTTTCAAATAATACACATATATGTATTTATGTACAAAAATCTATTGTGATTGCTTCTAATTAAAATGTGATAGGATGTGAAGTACTCTTATCAATTTTATAAATTAACAAATGTCAAGTATAAAATTAATCTATTAATTAGAAGAATCAAATAGATCGAATTATCTGAATAAACAATACATTTAAACAATATCTAATTCATAACAAAATCTTAAACTTTTGAATGAGTTATTAGTCATCAACCAAGAACTATTTTCAAATTTCCATAGATTACCTACTTTTGAACTAGACTTTCTAATTAAATTTTTACATCTTTAACATTAAACTTAAAAATACTATGTATTTTACTAATATAGATTAGTTATTCCAAATTAGGATTTTGATGAAAAAGTTAAAATTTTAATTATTCCAACTATGAATTTTATTTCTCGTGGATCAACATAAGATGATCATTGTAATAACATAAATCAAGAGTTATATCATTTATCAGAAATGACTAAAGATGTATTTTATAATCCTTCTGATAAAATTAAACAATTTAGAGAAAGAGTTAGAAAAAGCAATAAAAAAGCCAAGAAACCATTGATACCTATATAACCTTAATATTCAATAACAAAATAAAACCCATTATTAAAAATATAACCTATTGTTAGACCTTAAGAATTTAGTTTTCATGAGACATCAAATACAAAACCTCGCAGGAATAAAATATTTAATAGTCTAAATTTTCCTTAAACAAAAAAATTGCTAAAGTTATGAAAACTTAATTATTAATCTATAAATGTATTTAATAGAATTCACAATGTGGTACTATGTACTTTGTTGATTTTTAAAAAAAATTTATGAATGTATTTTTCTCCAAGTATAATTTCAATAATTTAATCGATTGCTTTAAGATTTAACTTATACCTTTCATAATAAGTTGATTAATTGTATCCAATAAATGGCAATTCTCCAATTAAATTCTTAAATAAGGGATTATTGTTGATTGTGATATATGGTGCTTGCATTATAATAATTTCACTGTTTCTTAAATTTAGATACAAAGTCTTACCATTATGTTTTTTACAGCAATGTCTTAATAAATTTCCATTTTTTTTCTATATAAAAACAAATACATACTTCTGATAATCTACCACAAAAATGGCAGCACATTTTTTTAAAACAGATTAAACATAAGTATTGACATTACTCCTAATTTGAAATTCTTTAGAAAGGTAAAAACTTGCATTTTTTCTTTTAGCAAGGTGCTAGGTAATATCTTAATAAAAAATCTTTAAAATTTAATTAAAATTTCTAGATATATTGCTATTTTAATGATTAGGTAATGTTGTCTATTTGATATGGCAATAATCTTTAATCAAAATAAGAAATAATAATATTCTGAGTTAAAGCTTCTATAATTGCAGATTAATTCTAATTTCCAGAAAGTGCTGATTTTAATTCTTATTATAAGTTATTTATTTTCTTTTCCTTTATTTAAAATTATAATAATAAATTGAGAATTATAAAAAAGATCTAATTATCTTAATTGATTTTTTATAAAATAGTTGATTAATTTTCTTTATAAATTATTCTTAATAAGACTAAAATATCTTATAATAATAAATGCATTTTTTTCTCTTAAAATTATTTTAGATCACTCAATAATTAAAATAATAAGTTGCAGAGAACTTAAGAAAATATTTCATCATAAATTTTTAGAACTCTTTCTTCTTAATTTACTGAATATTTTTCATAATATTCCCCAGCTTTTTTATCAATTAAGGTTTATAAAAAGAACTTCAAATTTTCTGTTAATTTCTTATCATGAGCATCTTTAATATATATTGTGCTAACAAATGGGAAGTTGTAAGGGGATAAACATAATGGACATTACAAATATTTAAATTCTCCAATAGAATATTTTTTTTGATTCTATTATAAACATTATTAATGAAAAGTATGTTAACAACATGAGGATACTATTTGGAAAAAGTCAGATAACTCAACTTATTACGGAGGTAAAGGAATCATTTGAATATATTTGTGAAGATTAGAATATTAAATCAATAATGCTCTATATTAAACTTCATCTTATTCAAATGGTAATTAACATAATGAACAAGTTTCTGTTGCCATTTAAGTAGGAGTATTGTCAAATTAAGAACTAAATTACGATCCCATATTGTTAAATTTTTCTTAATATTTAGCTTTTTTGATTTAAGATCTACATGCTCTTAATGCATCACTTTAGAAATCTAAGGTTACAGTAGTTTCATCAAGTAATGATGCAAAAATAGAATAAATGTTATTTGATGTTTAGGTTAAATTAACATCTGATACAATTTGCAAACATATTTAGGAAATTGTTGATAAATTTTATTTAAGGATTGATTATGAACATGGAAAATGTTTATTACATAAAAAAACTAAATTAATATAAATAGAATAATCTTCCAATACTTATGAAATATTTTTTACTAAACCTTATTCTAATTAAGCATGAAGTTATTTTATAATTTCTTAAAGTATTTACTATTCAACATCATTAGCTATTGCCTTCAAAATAGCTAATCTTTTTTATGTTAAAGTTGATTTATCCTAATTTATTTGATTCAATTCATTTGCAAGTGCAGTACCAAACAATTAAGATGGTTAGTCATTTTAAGTTTTTAATTTGTCTATTATTTATTCTTTTAATTATAATACTAAAGAAGCAAAAATTGGTTCATATTAAACTGGTAAAAGTGATCTTTTTAATTATAATTATTAATTATCTTAATTTAATTCACATGAACTTAAAATTATTTTTTATAAATCTAAACTACTATCATAACTAAATTTTCTAAGAAGCTCTCTAAGATCATTTTCTTAATAAAATGATTAAGCATAAAAGATAGTTTAGAATAATTTATTTAGTCCTTTTTAAAATTGTTCTGGCAGATCATTTCCAAACATATCACCTACACATTAAATTAAATCATAATCAGTTTAAGCTATTCTACATATTAGAAATGATGGATCAGATTTGTATTAAAAAAATTCAGCTATTTCTTTGTAATTAGAAACAATATCATTAATACCTTAAGCACCAAATAAAAATGCATATAATTAAATATAAGCTACATCTACTTATTCAAGTGAGACTTCTTTCAATTTATATTCTTCCTTATATATTTTGAATTATCCTTTGTATATTGTTGTTGAATTTCCACCCTTTTTAGTCAAAACAATATTATTAAGTAAAGTTCTTTTTAATAATTAGAGCATTACTTCTCTAAATTTTTGTGGACTTAAACCACTTGTTTCAAATAAATCTTCCTAAGCTTCTAAAGGATTATTATAATCCATTAAAAATAAAGATAATAAATTTATAAAATTTCTATCACAAACAACAACATTTGATAAATAATTTTTTAATATTGTGTCAGGAGGTTTCAATCTAAATTATGCAACATAATTATTTAAAAAGTAATTTATTGTTAACCTAAAAATGTTTTTTAATCCAACTTTATTTTATCTATAAACATCTTTCCAAGTGTCCACTAAAACAGATAATAATCTTCTATATCCTTAAAGTATTTTATTTTGAAGAACTACTGAATTTATAAATTTTTGAGCCTCATTTGGATTTAAAAAATGGAATGTTGAAGTTTCTGTTTGTCTACATGGATATATTTTAAATAATGCATATATCAATAATGAATTTGTTTAGAGTTAACCAAATTTAGGATTTTAAGGATGCATCAAACTAAACTTAAATAATTCAGCATCAAAACCTAAAATCTCAAAGATTTATTCAAAGAGCTTTTTCACAACTTCATCATAGAATTATTAGAGTATCATATCATCAAATAACGAGCAATACTAATGGGTTTATTCATCACAAATAGGTCTAAATCAAATAAAAATATTATTTACAATAAGAGTAATTGATTTGAAAAAATATCAAACAATTAATAAATTTATGAATTCTTAAATTCTTTATATAAGTTTAAAAGACTTAATATTAAATGTCCCATGAATTAATAAAAATAACCAAATAAAGAAGCTTTTTCAACTTTATTTTTACAATAAATTTTTTTAATACTATTATTCTAAGCCAACTTTGGAAATATTTCATTAAGTTTTGATTAGACTGTATAGTTTATAGTATTGAGTCTAAATTTAATTTATTCTCCCTAAATTGTTATTAATTTGAAAACTTAAACTGGATTGTATAAATAATGAAAATTTATTAAGATTTATTTACATAAATATGGTTTGAAATTTTCATCAGCATGTAATTCATAAAACAACTCTGAAATAATATTTGGATCATCCTATTAGAATCTTGAAAAAAAAACATTATGTTTAACAAATAAATTTAATATTGAGCATAAACAAAGTTATTCTTTCTTCTCCAATTTAAACTAACCAAAGTGATTATTATAATGAACATGATATAATTTTATCTATTTTTAAATATTACAATCTATATGGATTTATAGAAATCTGCTTGTTGCATAACTCCAAGTAATATTATCTTGAGTTAAGAATTTAAGAATTCTGAATATAAGTCGATATATTTTTTTGCAATCTCTTAAAGCTTTTTCTTTTTCTAGAAACTCTGCCATATTGTCATTCATAAAACTTTATGAATTTTCAACTTTTAGGGTTACAATAGCATCTTAGATTTAAGACATTAATTATTCTGTGTAATCAACTATTTTCTATGTGCTTTCAAACAAAAGAGCAAAGGATATCATAATAAAGTATTTAAATCTACGAGTTAAATTTTCTATATTAAATTTATTAATATTACCCCCAAAAATCATTTCAGGATTTGGTGTTTATATTTGAGTTTGTGAATGTTTAGCACAAAAAGATTTTTTCTTCATTACCAATGTATCACCACAATCACAACATCCTCCATTTGAATAATGATAAGTCACAACATGATCTTATTTTAAAATATTATTATACTTTAATGTTTTTCTGGTACATAACATTCTTAGCAATATACATGTGTAGGCTCTTTGCTACAATCAAAACATTTGTAAAATAAGATATTTAGGGGAAGAGATCCAGAACATATACTTTTACATCCAGTCCCTTTTAATTTAATTATTTTTCCTTCAAATTCATCATTTGTTAAATTTAAAACTTATTAAACTAACTAGAAATCACTTTTTTGATCTTATGTATTTGCTGCATCTTTAATTGTATCAATTAACCCCTAAATATTCATTTAGATTTTATTATTATAATAAATAAATATATGTTTAATGATAATCCTCTATATCAATCTTATTATTCTTTTATATTATGTTATTATGCATAATTCGTTAATAGAATTAATTAATTTATTCTTAGCACTTTTCATCAATAAAAAAGAAGAATAAATTACATTAATTTTTGTCAAAATGTCTAAAGTTCCACTTTATTGTAAAATGATTCAAAGCATTACAGAAGATTATTAGAATCCAATAAATTAATATTAAATATTGTAAACTTTTATATTTCAGAATCAAAACTTTGGAATTAAATAGAAAACCTTTTAAAAACAATAAAATTCTGCTTGTGGATAATTTATTTCAGATCATATATTAAGTTTTTAATGTTTTACTTGTGGCAGTGAAGCAACGCACATGTATTGTTAACAATGTTTTGAACCTGAATAACACAGAAGTAATTTATTTATTAATTTATTAGATCATTAATGTGTTATGGATCTTAAGAATAGTGGAATATGTGATTGTGGTGTTTAATCTATAATTAAATAAGAAGGATTTTGTTCTGCTCATAAAACATAAAATAATTTTAAAACATAAAAAGGAATTGATTAAATTCCAACTTATATTTAAAATAATATCTCTGATTTTATTTAAGCACTCACATAAGTTTATAGTTTTCTGATGAAAAATATTAAAAATAATTGCTCGAATGTTAAAATAAAAATCCTGAATTTCTATCATTATGCTAATTTTTTTAAGGATTAATATTTACAAAAGTTAATAATTAGTTAACAAAATATTAAAAATTTTTATGATACATTAAGAAAAGCATCTTATATTCATACTATTTTATTTTAGACAATTTAATCACTTTTAGAGTAAGATTTTTGCTACTAACCTCTGATCACAAAAAGTCTTTCAAATTTTTGTTATTCAAACAATGGTAAGAAAATTATGGAAATACTATTAGAATATTAAATTTACATTGAGGTTTATTCTAAATTTAATTACTTTGAGATAGATAAAATTCTTTATTAATTATACACTGATGAAAATTTTAAAGCTTTTATGTTCTCTCAAATATTAAAGTATTTTTCATAATTGTGGTTGATTTAAGAGGTTGAAATTACATCATAAAATCAAATAATAGAAGATCTCTTACTTAAACTAAGAGAATCATAAAATATAAATACTTATTTTAATTAAATATACTTACAACTTGCCACTTATTTTGATCCTTATTTCTCAGAACTATAAACCACCAGAAAAAAAATCCATCATGTTTTTGCAAGCGAAATAATTATGTCTGAAACCTAATTTATCTCTAAGGAAATGTAGAAAGAATTTTTTTGTGAAAAAAATAGTGTTTAGGATTTTGTAGTTTTGATTGAGAAATTAATGTATTCTTGTAATAATTTATGTTCCAAAATTTAATTAATTATCCCATCCTTATTTAGAAGGAGATTTGAATATAAAACTTTTATAGAAATAGGATTTGATTAATTAAAAGTAGAATTAGATCATAATTTTAATTCATTTTTGAATTAAGATATATAAATTAATGTTATAAAGAAATTTAATTATTCTAAATTTGCAATATCTTACTTAATTGATTGTTTAGGAAAGGGAATAGATAGAATTAATTTAGATAATATTCCTTATACAAAAATATTATTGGCTGACACAATTCATTATATCTTGGATTAGGCAAAATATTTTAGTGCAATTAGAGTTGGGTTACAGACTATCTTTACTAATTCAAAATGCACTGATAAATTTAAATAAAACTTAATAAAAGTTCTTTTTTATTAAACTTATTGTATTTTAAAAAAATCTTTTGATCTATTTAGCTTTGATATACATTCTATAAGCAATTAATTACATGATGGCAAATTGTAAATAATTAAAAATGGTATGATAATTTAGAAACTTTTTACTCTTTTTTTGAGTTATTTATATTGTACTAATAAATTTTTGGAAGGAAAATAATTCTTCCTTTATCTACTTGATATTTTGGATGAAAGTGAACAATAATTTGAATGCTTTCTCAATTATATGTTTATTTAAATTCTTCAAGTTTATTGTTTTATTAATTGCAATAACAATTAACACCTAATAGAAGTTTATCAAGGAACTGAAAAAAATACAGAATTTTCTTCGTTTGAACAAGTTGATAAATGTTTTATTAAACTATATATATTTTTATTTGGTTAAACTGTATTCTCAAGATTTGAAGAATCTTTTTAAAAAAATACAATAATTCCTTAAAGATAATTAAGCTAAATAAAACAGTAATATTACATCATTAATTATTAGAAAGTTATTTTATGACATGATAATTACAGAAAATGATTTATACAATATTTGCAGTCCATTTTTGACCGAATTATCAGATGACTTAAAATTATCTTTAGTGAAGATTGTGAGTAATCATCTCAATCTTTCAACTTTCTTAGAATATAAAAAACTAAAAGCATTACTTAAAGAATAAGGAATTTTATTAAATGAAAATTTTCCAAAACATATTTTATAAATATGTGAAGTTGATTAGACATTAAAAAAATTAAAACTAAAAGATGAATACAAAATTTTATATGAACCTACTCTTATGTTGGATAAAGATTCAAAAGGAAAAATAGTTGAAAGATTTATTGAGCAACATAGAACAGAAAGGGAAATTTAATTTGGAAATGGAATTTAATGGGATTTTGAATAATATTCAAATGAACATTATAGAGTTTTACAGTTTACTATATTACGAAATTATTGTGCTTCTAATTTAATTCAATAGAATATTCAAAATTTTCTTTTTATTTAAAAAGGCAATTTTCAAGAATTATGTTATCTTATTTTAATTCAAATTATTGCATAGAAGTATTTTCATAAAAATGAATTTGAACTATTTGTGAATATTTATATAATTGAATTAGAAGAAATATAAAAATAATAATATTTAGATATGAAAAAATAAAATTTACAAAATCTTATTTTAACAATTAAAGATTTGAATAAATAATAAATAGAAGACGATTAATCTTTAAAAAAGTTGAAATTTCAAATTTAAAAAGATAAGTTCAAAGCTAAATTTAATAAATAATCTAATTAAATTTAAAAAACGTTAGATTAACATGAATAATAATACTAGCCTGTTATGAATGAAGAAAAAAGCTTATGCTTTACATGTAAACTTGAATTAACATCCGAAAATACAGTAGGGATGTTATTTATATATTTGAAATCTAAACAATTAATTGTTGATGAAACAATTTAAATACTTGAAAACCAGTTAAAATTTGATATAGATTTAGGATTATAGACATGTCGACATTACTTTCATGATAACTGTTTAATTGAATGTTTTGAGAATACATATAAAAATGATGAAAATGATTTCCCTAATAAAATTTAATTAGATTGTCCTGTTTGTAAATAACCTTGCCTTTTTACCTTTCACATTTTTGAAATTTTTGATGATAAAAAAATGGAAAGTTTAAACTAATCTTTGATCCTACACTATTCAATTTTAAAAGGTGATTAATATTTTTTAACCGATATTCTTAGGACATAAACTTTAATTGGAATTTATATAAATTTATTTTTCGATTTACTAATATAATTATTTGTTAATCCTTAAGAATATAAAAGAGATCAAAAAGATAAAGTATTTAAATAATTGCTTTTTTGTTATTTTGAAACCACTTAAGGACTGGATTTAATTAAGGATGATATGTTAAAAATAAGTAAAAAACTTGATTAATAAACTAATATTATCCTTAATATTTTGAATATGATATTAGAAATATAACTAAAGGAAAAAACTTTGAATTAATTAAGGTTACAAATTATTTAACTAATTTAACAATATAGATAATTTAGTAAGGAAGAAACTTTTCTTTTAATTAGTTCTTTTGGTATTTAAAGTTAGGAAATCTTAAAGTAATAAAATAATGAACAAATAACATAATTTATAGAAGATAAATATTTAAGAAATTACTAGAGTCTGGTTTATAATACTTAAGAATTAATTAAGAATTTATTAGGATAAACATTTTAATAATTTCATGGTATGTATTTTGGAAATAAATGCAATCTTTGCAAATTTTATAATAGCGAAAAAAAGAAAAATAAAGGTGTTTCTGTTTGTTTATTATGTTAGTAGTTGTTATGTAATTATTCTTGTGCATTTAATGAAAATGGAAACTTAAATAAACATGCATAAACATATCATAAAGGAATTTCAATATTTATAAGTCTTTAAAATAGTTCAGTTTATCTAATGAGTTCACCACTTTCAATTAAATATTAAAAATGTTTATATTTTAATGATTTAGGTGAAAGAATAGTTACTGAAAATCCAAAAGCAGATTGGAATACTTATGTTTTAGATGTGAATAAAGCTAATGAGTTGGCATCAATAATAATAAATTGTTAATATAGTAAAATTATTAAGAATAAAGAATTTAATAATTAATTGTTGGATGATCTTGGAATATTTTGATTTTTGTAATATTTAATATAAATCAATTACGATTTAATTTATATTAATAAAAATATGGATTCAAAATCAATTATGTATTTACCATCATAGCAAATAAGTGAAGGAGAAATTCTAGTGAAAGGAAAGACTTTAGGAAGATGGAAAACGAAAAAATTTTTAATAGATGAAGAACAAAGAGTATTTGCATTAAAAAGTTCTTAAGCAAAAAAAAAGTAAAAGCCTTTCTATCTAGAATATTATAAAGTAAAAATTATAGTAATATCTTTTAGTTAGAAATAAGAGAGAAAAAAAAAGATAAGATTTCATTTGATTTGATTTCAAAAGCAGGAGGAAAAAGTGTGACATTAGGACTTTAGAATGAATAACAGGCTAATGCAATAATAAATTTATTGTAGAAATTGATAATGAAAGAGGATTCTATTTAAAAACAACAATTAGAGGAATAATAATAAAAATTATTAAACGAATAAACTATAGCGAATTCTCACTGTAAATTTATGTTTTTTAATATAATTAAGAATGGGCTTTTGAGAAAATAGATTATGAGATTCCTTGTTTTTTTGATACAAGTGAGATTAGAGAAAAGTAAATGATTATATTATTTATTTAAGTATCCATCAAATAAGAAAAGGATAATAAAAGCTAGAACATTTTTAGATGGTTTACTAATAGTAAACATGTTAAATTTACAAAAATGTTGAAAACCATCATCATTTTATGAGTTTTATAGAATATGAAGGAAATTGTAAGAATATTAATTTTTAATATAGGCTGTGAAACAATAATTCAGAATTTAACAGATAACAACAAAATTAATTAATGGAATCCATTTGTATCATAAAATGAATCTAAATTAATAAAAGAATTGGTTGAAGATAAATCATTTTAAATATGTGAAATAAGATAATTAACTAATCTATTTGTTTTTAAGAGAGAATTTCAATATTTAAGGCATCATCTAAAAATAGATAATATTGATTTTATTGTTTAAAAGTAAATAGATTAGAGACCAAAAACAAAATTGAATTAAGGAAGTTTAAAATATGGATTATGGAGTGTTTAATACAAGTAATTGAATAATAATTGATAATTTTTAGAAATAACATTACAAAAGTTTGTTATGTTACTGAATAATCAATATTAGGATTATCATATCCAGACGAAGATTCTTATCTTACTCAAGTATTTCTTTAATAGATAAGTAATGTGAATTAAGCTTCTATATTGAAGACATAGATACAAAATGTTGAAAATCCTTAAACTAATATAATAATTACACATGAAAAGTCTAAAGAAGTAATTCATTAACTAGAATAATAAAATCTTGAGAAATAAGAGATAAATATTCAAAATAAAGTTGTTTAGGAAAATAATAAATAGAATAAAGAAGAAGATGATTAATTTTTTGATTGTGAAGAGTAGGATGCAATAGATGAAATGAATGATAAATTATTTATAGTAGAAACAGTAGCGAATAAACAATTAATCTAAGATGATGTTGTAAAAGATGTTTATGAATAAAATGCAAGAAGACAATCTATTTTACCACTTTAAATTGATACATAAGATAATAATATATAAGATTGGGTAGAAAAGAAAATGAAATAAGTATTGTAAGGAGGTTATTGTTCACTTTCAATAAATGTAAAACATTAATTGTGTCCAAAAGAAAGTGGATAACAAAGATAATTTTTAACTGAATAAGAAGGAGGACATTACATTTTCAGAAAAGATTTTATTAGAGAAGAAAAGAATGGAGGATTGAAAGTAATAAATGAAGAGAAATTGGCTGCATAAAAAGCAGTTATTAAATTTTTAATAACTAGAATAGGTGCTTCATTATTGATGGGTAAATCAATAACTGGAATTTCAATGCCAGTAACAATATTTGAAGCTCGATCTAATACTGAAAGAGTTTGTAGTAGCATGGGATTTGCACCAATATATTTAGAGGATGCTGCTTAATCATCTGATATATATTATAGAATTAAATAATGTGCAGCATTTTAATTTGGGTTTATATTTATGTATATTTCCTGTGAAAAAGTATCTATTTTTATTTTTAAGTTTAGCCTTTTAATCCGATATTAGGAGAAACATTCTAAGGCTTTTATGATAGTTGTCCAATATATTGTGAATAAATAAGTCATCATCCTCCTATTTGTGCTATATAAATGTATGGTAGATCTTATAAGTATTTAAATATTCAAATATTTAGAATTGATGGACAATTAGAATTAGTTGCTAATTTTCATTCTAATTCTGTTGTTGGAAGAAATGTTGGAACTTTCAAGATTACATTTGAAAATCCTCATTAAGAAGTCTTACTCACATTTGCACCAGGTAGTTTGAATGGAACTACTTATGGTGATAAAGTACTTAATTATCTTGAAAAATAATTCATTATTGATTTCAAAAATAAAATCATTTTAGAAACTACTTTTAATCCTGAAAAAAAATATTGTTAGTTTTTTGATGTTGAATATATCAATTAATTAGATTATTTATGTGGAGCCATTTGTGATGTATCTGATTCAGCAATTCTTAGATACTAAAAAGAAGGCTATAGAAAATATAAAGGATTAGATTTAAAATAAGATATCAAATAAGTTAGACATAAAATTAAAGGAATTTGGATCAATGAAGTTAAAGTATTTTTATTTTATTTATAATCAGGTTGATAATCAAAAGTTGATCTCTATTCAAAATGATTATCCTATCAAATTATAATTAGCTTAATATCCAATACCATCTGATGCTACTTTCAGAATGGATCTTTTGTGGTGGAAATTAAAGAATTTCGATCAATCTTAATAATGGAAAGAAAAATTAGAAATTCTATAAAGATAAGATAGAAAATTAAGAGAATAAAAAACAAAAAAGAAAAAATGATAGTTTATATAAATCCAATTTTAAGTATTTATTCATTAAAATAAAAAAATAATTCAATCATTATTGAGAAACTTTACCTTTTATTTAATTTTAATCTTATTCTATTTTTTTATTATTGTTAATCACTTTTCACTATTAAATTTTATATCAATCTTCTAATTTAGTTTTAAGATTTATTTTATTTGCTCATTATATACTAAAAAATTAAAAAAAGAATAGTATAATTAAATAATTCCTTTAAAATTTTATATTTTTAGAATACCAGAACAAAATAATGGTTGGACTTCATGCTTTTTAAAAAAAAAGAAACTAAAAAACTATTCTTAATTGAATAAAAATTTTCTTAAAGTTAAATTTTTTCTTATTTTATAATTTTTTAACCTGTTCAGTAATAATCTAAATAGGGAAATAATAAATTATTTTTTGAATTTATGTTAATCATTTATGGTCGACAAAATCAATTTTATTTTTTCTAGACAAAAATAATTGATTTAATCTTGTTTATAAATTTATATTTAACTAATATTTTATATTTTATATTTATGAATTAAGCAACTTAATTAAATGAAAAAAGCATAGTCACCTGCATTGATAGTTTCGAAGAATTTTCTTATGATTTATATCAAATTTAGGATTTTTAAGAAGATCATGAAATAGAAGTTCAATAATAACCCATTGTTATTTAAAACAATTAAAATACAACATGATAATTAGAACTTATATCAAACATAATACATAAAATAATTATTTAATATATGCTTTGGATAATATTATTATTAACTTATTACTAAAGAAGAAAAGTTAATAATAATAAAAAATAGAGTCTTAGAAAAATCATAATAAACCAGTGTTTATTGGGAATATGCCATTTGATATTGATATTGAAGAAATAGAAGTCAGAAAAGTAATTGAAGAGTAATCAAGGATCCTCTAAAGAAATCTTGGAAAAGGTTTTAGATATGTGTGCTTTATTGAGTATTTATTTTAAAAAAGCGCTTTAAGCTTAAACAATAGAAATTAAAGGAAGAGAGTTAAGAATCAAAAGAGCTGCTGAAACAACAAAAAGAGAAGCATAAGAATTTAATAATGGAAAAAATACTTTTAAATGTATTATGTTATTTTTTAGATCTTATAATTTATTTAATGGGTTTTTATATAATACACCATCTATTTTTAGATTATGTTATAATTTATTAGTTTAAAATATGAATTTATGAATAAATTCAATTTATTAATCCAAATATTTGTCTAAATTAAATATTTAAAGAAGAGAATGGGATGTTCTATTCAGAAATAGCAATCAAGTTAATCTCAGTTGAAAAAGTTAAAATAAATTTCAACATAAAATCATGATTAATTTAAACAACAAATTAAAAACTCACCTCCGACTTTTTCAAAAACTCCATCACCTTAATAAAATTTTAAATAGTTAACTCAATAATAATAGATAAAGATTCAAGGTGTAATTTTTAACAATAAGAGAAACATATAGTAAACAGCTTAATTGAAAGTTGATGAACAATATAAATTTTAATAAACACTAATTGGACTAATCAAAAGATGACAAATTTGAGATATCGATTCTGAGTTAGAATTTTTTTTCTTTTGAAATATACTATCAACTTATATCTTTTATTTTCAATGGTTTCATTAATAGTAACTAACTATTTTTGTTAATTTCTTTCTTTAGTTTAAATGTAAAAAAATAGAAGTTTCAATTTTTCATTTAAATTTTACTTTAAAGCCAAGAATATTTGCTTGAAATTTATTATTAAAATAATGGGAAACTCCCCTTACAGAATATCAAACACTTAACCTTAAACAACTTTCATTAATTCCTTGGAAAACCATATTTATATTGATCAAATAGATAATTAGGATAACTCAGATAACTAAAGCACTTCAACAGTAGATTTTGATAGAACTCCACAAAACAACTCATAACCATACATAACTGAAGTATATGCAAGAAGAAAATGCAGAAGAAGAGGAATTATAGTAGCTAGGACTTCAAAAAGTTTTGATGAAACTGAAATTTAAATGGAAAATCAAAATTCTGTATGAAGTTAACTTATTTATATTATCTTTTTGTTTTATTTTATATACACTCATCCATAAAATAAAGTTAAATCGTCTGTGCAAGAATTTTTATAACTTTTCAAAATATTATTATAAATTATTTTTAGAAGCACTAGGAAACATGAAATATATTTTTTTTAAACTAAATGAAATTAATTAGAATGCACAAAACAGCATGTGAAGGAAATGGGAAGAATAAAATTTACTAAATAAATGAATTTTTTTATATTTTATTTTTATGATCAATGTTGTTTNAATCCAAATATTTGTCTAAATTAAATATTTAAAGAAGAGAATGGGATGTTCTATTCAGAAATAGCAATCAAGTTAATCTCAGTTGAAAAAGTTAAAATAAATTTCAACATAAAATCATGATTAATTTAAACAACAAATTAAAAACTCACCTCCGACTTTTTCAAAAACTCCATCACCTTAATAAAATTTTAAATAGTTAACTCAATAATAATAGATAAAGATTCAAGGTGTAATTTTTAACAATAAGAGAAACATATAGTAAACAGCTTAATTGAAAGTTGATGAACAATATAAATTTTAATAAACACTAATTGGACTAATCAAAAGATGACAAATTTGAGATATCGATTCTGAGTTAGAATTTTTTTTCTTTTGAAATATACTATCAACTTATATCTTTTATTTTCAATGGTTTCATTAATAGTAACTAACTATTTTTGTTAATTTCTTTCTTTAGTTTAAATGTAAAAAAATAGAAGTTTCAATTTTTCATTTAAATTTTACTTTAAAGCCAAGAATATTTGCTTGAAATTTATTATTAAAATAATGGGAAACTCCCCTTACAGAATATCAAACACTTAACCTTAAACAACTTTCATTAATTCCTTGGAAAACCATATTTATATTGATCAAATAGATAATTAGGATAACTCAGATAACTAAAGCACTTCAACAGTAGATTTTGATAGAACTCCACAAAACAACTCATAACCATACATAACTGAAGTATATGCAAGAAGAAAATGCAGAAGAAGAGGAATTATAGTAGCTAGGACTTCAAAAAGTTTTGATGAAACTGAAATTTAAATGGAAAATCAAAATTCTGTATGAAGTTAACTTATTTATATTATCTTTTTGTTTTATTTTATATACACTCATCCATAAAATAAAGTTAAATCGTCTGTGCAAGAATTTTTATAACTTTTCAAAATATTATTATAAATTATTTTTAGAAGCACTAGGAAACATGAAATATATTTTTTTTAAACTAAATGAAATTAATTAGAATGCACAAAACAGCATGTGAAGGAAATGGGAAGAATAAAATTTACTAAATAAATGAATTTTTTTATATTTTATTTTTATGATCAATGTTGTTTATATCAATGATGGTTTATTATTCGAAAGTATTTAAAAAAAATCTCTTCAAAAATTCATTTTATATATTTAAATAAATTCATAAGTAATAATGTACTTTGTATTATTTCCAAGAGTTGTGTTATCTTCAAGAATGAGTTACTTAATCTATTTTAGATATTTCTTATATATTTTGGATTTTTGAGTTTTATCAATATTAAATTCTTCAAGTTAATTTAATATATGTTTGTCTTAAATATAAAAAGTTTACTTATTTAAAATAATAGATGGAGAATAAAGGTTTTCTGAAGTAAATAAAACAGAAACTTGATTCTAAATTTAATCTTAAATAAATCTTAAATGTTTGGTAATCTTTTTAGATTCTATTTGGAGATTAATTATAAAATAGATAAAGTATATGGAATTATTTTTAGAATTAGAAAGCATAAATGATGAATTATTTTTTAGATTTCGTGTTTAAATGCATTAGAATAATGGAAAAAATTAGCAAAAGTAATTATAACAAAGTTTAGAAGTGAAAAGAATTTGAATTTAAATAAGACATTAATATTTTTATGAGTGAATTAGGAAATTATCTGATAGGTATAAAATAATATGATAAAATTTAAGGGAAAACAATTGGAGAGGGAACCTTTGGAAAAGTTTGCCATGCTAAACATTAAATTTTAGGACATGAGGTTGCAGTTAAAATTTTAGAAAAAAACAGAATTCATGATGAATAGGATATTTAGAGAGTTAAAAGAGAAATAAAAATCTTATAAATGTTACATCATCCAAATGTTGTTTAATTATATGAGGTTAGTGATATAATTTATAATTAGATGATTGAAACAGAAACACATATATATTTATTCATGGAATATGCGGAAGGAGGAGAATTATTTGATTATATAGATTAAAAGAAAAGGTAAATAATAAATAGATTGCATTAATTAGAATAAATGAAGTTGAAGCATGTAAATTCTTGCATGAAATAATATCAGCAATACAATACATTCATTAATTGAAAATAGTTCACAGAGATTTGAAACCAGAGAATTTATTATTAACAGCAAAAAAGAACATCTTAGTAGTAGATTTTGGATTAAGTAATATTTATGAAGACACTCTTAAGACTGCATGTGGAAGTCCTTGTTATGCGGCACCTGAAATGATTCAAGGAAAACCATATAATGGATTATAGACGGATCTTTGGAGTTGTGGAGTAATTCTTTATGCGATGATTTGTGGATATCTTCCTTTTGAAGATAATAATACCTAAGTTTTATATAAGAAGATACTTACAGCAGATTTTCATATTCCAAGATATGTTTCTTTAGATGGAAAAGATCTTATTAAGAATATACTTGCTGTAGATCCAAATAAAAGATTTAATATTGATTAAATTAAAGCACATAAATGGTGGTAATTATGGAAATCAGATGTAATTTAAATCTATTTAATTTAGTATGTTTAAGTTTCACCATTTAAAGCCTCTTTTAATTAAATTACTTGTACTCTTTTGCCAAATAGCATTTATAAATCTTCACTAGGATCCAATCTTTAAAAAGATATTTATGAAGATGAAAAACCTAGTTGTAATTTTGATTAAGAATCTATTAAAATTTAAATTTCTGAAAAGTAACATTATATTATAACATAAAGAAATTAAGACATAATATAATAAGATATTATTGATACCAAATAATTACTTGTCAATGATTTAAATGAATAGTAAAAACCTACTGAATCTGAAGATTTATAAGATACCTATGATTATTAATAATCAGTAAGATCATTAACAAGATAAAAATCAAGTAAATCTATTTAATCAATTAAACATATGTAAACTTAGGTTGAATCTCCATAAAAACCTATTATTCTACAATCAATTAAATAAACTACTCAACCATCCTCTCAGTCAACTTCTCAACCAAATTAAAATAAAGTAACAAAGGCTATCCCAAAAAAACCTGTTTTAACATAATAATAATAATAAGTATTTGTCCAAAAAAAACCTATTACTAAAGTAGCTCCATCCAAATCATTGCATGAACCTCCAAATTTTGATAATAAATTCATGAAATAGCCTAATACTCCAAATATTCGATAAACTTCAACAGCCAATTCGAATAACAATTCTTTTCATTAAACTTAACACCTAAAGACTGAAATACCAAAAAAAAATTCAAATCCTCCTGCCAAATTAGGTGTTATTTAAGAATAATTTAAAGAAAATAAAGAAAAATCTCATTCATTAAAAACATAACCTAATACATGGAAGTCATAATAATAAGACTAATAATAATAATAATAATAATAATAATAATAATAATAATAGACCAATAAAACTTAAAATTAATAAAAAAGTGCCAATAAATAAGGACCTAATTAAAATTATTCTATAAAAAAGAGTTTTCATCATAAATAAACAGCAAGTGTTTAAATTGAAAGATAATCATTCCATACCTAATAATCTACATTCATAGAAGATAATAGCATATTATAATTTGAAGATAATAAAACAATTTTAGATAATTTTATTACTCGACTAAATAACTATAAAAGCCAAGTAGTATAAAAGTATAATCAAAAATAAGGATTAAATGATATAAATGGTATTGAATCCTTTAATGGTCCATACAATTTATCCTTTACTACTGCTAAACATCCTTAACTGTTTATTAAAGCATTATAAAAATACATTTAAGATAAATATCACCTTGGGATAGGTGCAATTTAAGTATATATAATGATTAATTAAAAAATAGAGTGTTCAATATGGTTGTAATTTTAATATTTCAGAATTTAGTTTTTAAATAAAATTATTTAGAATTGAGAATATGGATATTTTTTATTGTTAAATAAATTATAAGAATCTTAGTAATGCAAAGAATGATTAGGAATGTAACAATTTAATCGAAGATATAAAAAAAAATTTTGAATTTTGAATTTATGTAACTATCTAATCTTATTTTTATTAAAATAAAGTTAAGTTTTATAGATTAATGTGAACTTCATGGGTTAAATTATATTTTTTAACCTTAAAAATTATTTGGTGATTGCAAAGTGTTAAGAGGAGATTAATTTTATTGAAAAACTGGTTTAATTGATTCCCTCTAATTTTTAAACTCATCCTATTCATTTATATCAGCTAGCACATTATTATTTTAGGTTCTTCTCGATGATGATCTTTCAGACATCACAGATTATCTTATTATTTACTTATCATTTGGTGTAAAAGATTATCTAGGCAAAATTCTATTTTATGCTTATTTTTAATCAATTTTAAATAGATTTTATTATTCATCATGCTTAATTTCTAATTCATGTTCATATTCTTAAAGTTTATTATATTAATTTACATTTTTAAAGTAAGTTCTTTTTCTTAACATTGGCTCCTCTGTAAACTATAATAAAACATGCAAAAACTTCAAATATTAAACCTACAATAAATATCCAAAATATTGCAATTTAATTTTCTCTAAATTTATCAATCTCATCTAAGGTTATCTCCATAATATATAAAAAATTGTCTTCTAAACAACGACTTCTTACAATTCTATTAATAGTATCATGAAATTAAGCTTCATAAAAATACAAAAGACAAATAATTGTACCATATGATAAAAATGAACCAATTCTTATTGTGTAAACTATTCTACGTATTATTTTTATTTGCTTCTGATTTAAAATTGGTAGAACTAAAATAAATGTAAAATCAGAGAGCATAAAAAAATGAAACAAATTAAGGATTATTCCAATAAATATACAATAAACTAAAGTAAAAAGTGTCTGTATGTACAATATGTATCCCAAACTTTTATAATATTCAGGGCTTTCTAAAACCCTTTCGATTAAAGTATATCTACAATCCATATGAAATTCAATATATCTTTCAGCATATAATCCGATTGTATCATTAACTGTAATATTCTTCATTTCACTTATAGAATTAAGATTAAGAACTTCTAATGCTTTCATTTTTTAGATTTCTTGATAATTTAATAAGGTTTCTGTACATTCCTGAAATTCATTTGGATCTTTACATATCTTTCCATTAAATCCAAATCTTAAATTGGTTACAGGTTATCTAGATTAAACAGAGGATAACAACATAATAGTTTTATTGATAGATCCCTTTTTTATTTATAATTTTGTTTCATAAAAATAATTAGAGAAATTCTGTAGATTTACAGTGTAGTTTTTTAAATAACCATTTGTAAAGTTCTATTATGTTAAGAAATCATTAAAAGGACATTAGAAAGTTGAAGTAATTTAATTTATGTTTATACAATATTTGGAATTCAGTTCAACTCCTCCACATAATTAAAAGCCATAGTCACAATCTGATCTAAGTGTATAATTATTTATAAATGTAAATGAATCCAGCTTTTCTATTGTGAACTAAACATTTTCATTATCAATTGAATAATTTTGAATTTTTTAATTTTAAAAAGTAGCAGTGACTTTTGCTAAATCATTTTCTTCTGCAAATTTAAGATATTTTATAGGATTTTGTTCCCAATTGTAAATTAATAATTCAAATTCTTTGGGGAGGGTGGAATTAAAATTTACATATTATGAATAAGAAAGTATTACAATTGCAAGTGAATATGTAAAAACTGATATCAAATAAAAGATAACAATATTTTGTTGTATTTTTTAATCGCTTTTATATCTCTCTTTTATTATTGAATAAGATTATTACCTTCATTGGTTAAATTATTTTTATTTCCAAGCATTGAATAAAAGAATAATAATAAAAAATAAATGAATTAATCTGAAATTTAAAATGTTAGGGAATACTAAAATAAACTAGAAAATTATATAAGATAAGATTAAATGTATTTTCATACTAATGAATGAATATTTGAATATAATAAATTGTTATACATTTTTTGGTAATTTAAAAAAGAAGATATTAATTAAAATTAGTAGTTAATTAATGAAAAATGATAATGTAATATGCTTTATTTTATTGATATTCATTGATGAACTGCTTTTAATAACCTATTTAAGAATGTATTATTTTCAGGTCTGTCTCTGAACAATGATTAAATCTTAGGTTTAGGTTATAAATCCTGGGTTAGTTATTTCTCTAATGGATTTTGTACTCCCCTAATAGCAGGAGAAGTCCAATTATTGGATTATCTTGCTAACATCCAAAGAAGTTAATTGTAATCATTGATAAAATAATAAGTAGGCATATGAGTATAATCTTATGGTCCAAGAACAATTTAAGTCACATGTAATCTATATCTTTGTTCTTTAGTCCATGTCCATTTAGATTCTTTAACAACAATGGCTAAAATAATATAATTTGATTGTAATTACATTCAGAAAGTCTTAATAAAATGTTTGGGGTCAATACTTTGAAATTATTTACTCCAAGCTCTTCCCAAGTGGCTGCCCAGACATCACCATTATCATACTCATTAGCAGTAAATGTTGCATTTTACTCTAATAGATAACAAATCTTACGAATTTCTATTTAACGTGAGATTCAACCAATTATGCAATTTATGGTACATATTATTGGGAATCAATCATTACAGGATAATCATTTACATATGGATAATCTCCCAATCTAAAGAAATCATCATATTCTATATAACTTAAATTAATATAATACAATTTTAGAGTCCTTTATTCATGTAGATATGTTTTGATGGATCTAATCCTTCATAAGGAGCACCAAATACATTGTATTAATATACTGATCTGAAGCAAATTGAGTTGATCTTACCCAAACTAACCAACTTTGTTAGCATTTTTGTTATTTCAATTATAATATTTACAAATCAATGATTTTTTATATCAATATATATATGATGCTATTTTAATCTTAAAAATTATGTAATATTCTAATTATTAAATAGTAATTTGAGTTATTAAATCTGTGCTTAATAACATTCATGGAACATATTGCTTTTATGAATTCTAAAACTAGTTATGTTATAAAAATCAAAGAATAGAGTTATTTATATTTTTATTCCATTATTTAAAATACATGCAAATTACTCAAACTTAGTTATTAGAATGGGTAAAGGATGGAAATAAAGTTACATTAAAGAAGCATTTTGAAGACTAATTAAAGTTTTCTCAAGAAAAATTGTAGTCATTTTTTACTATGGTTGATGATCAAAACCGAAATGTCGTACATTGGGCAGCTTATTTAGGATAATATAAATTATTGAAGTGGTGGTGTAAAGAATATAAATTAATGATTGACTTAAATAAAGGTGATATGCATTCTTATACTCCCTTAGAATTAGCAAGCATAAAAGGGTATCCATTATTTCTATTTATTCCAAAGGTATTCTGGTGAGTATAATCCAGATAAATAAGAGAAGACAATACAATTATTACTTGATCATGGTGCTCAAATTCCAGAATCAGACACCTCTAAGCCAAATCCTTTACATTGGGCTTTTTATTATGGTAACAAAGAACTAGTTGATTTTCTAATCTTAAAAAATTTTCAACTTTAATTAGAAACTGACTAATAAGGCAATTATCCTATAGATTACTTATTTTTAGAAAACAGACCTGATTAATACAAGTAAAGAATTTCATAAATGTTAATAGAAAAGATGTTGGTGAAATATTTGAGAATACAATTATTAATTATGCTTCGGTAACAACAAAATAAACTTTGAATAGAAAACCAAAGAAGAAAAAATAAAGATAAACCACGATAATAACGAGTTAACTTCCATTCGTTTAAACTTAAATAAAAGAAGATGAGTCAACACCTGAATCTGAACCTTCTAAAAATGGTATACCATATTCTAATATATCGAATTATCATAAAAGTCAAACATCTAATTCATTTATATCAAAAAATACGATTGCAAAAAGTAATTAAAAACTTACTCCAAGTTAATAAATCTTAATTAGGTTTCAATAAAGAAGTTGTTGCAAAAAAATACAATCAAAAAATATAGATGAGATAGCTGATATTCCTGTCTATGATGATTCTCGAATTGAAATGAAGGAACCTGAAGAAGAGAAAATACCTGAAATAAAAATATTCAATTAAAATCAAAAAAATACAAATTCTGAAAAACTTATAATTGATAATATTTAAGAAAATTAGTTCAAAGCAGACTAATGCAACATTATTATAACACAACCTCCAGCATTATAAATTGATTAAGAATCTTCACCCTTAAAAAATTAACATACTAAGAAACTAAATAAAAATAATTAATTGAAGGATTAAAATATTGATAATTTATAGAAAAAAAATACTTTAAAAGAAAAGTTCATCATTTATCATAGTAAAGCAAATCTTACAAAAAATGAGATATATGAATGTAGATTATAATATTGGTCTGCATGTCAAGGTAATACAGACTTTTTTATTTATTTCTTAAGAAGGAAATGTAATCCATTTGTAAATGTCTATTAAGGATTCAATTGTCTACATATAGCAGCATTTAAAGGAAAACCAAAAATACTAAAAATAATTTTAGAGAATGATTATGAATATTATGATTATTCTGAAGAGGGCAATCAAAAAAATAAAAAATAATTAAAAGAATAGATTTTTGATAAGGTATTTATTTATATAACTTTTTAGAAACAATGTATAAATATTTTGACAGATTAAAATCCATCAAATGCATTACATTTAGCAATTGAATAAGAGAAGTATCATTGTATGAAAACTTTAATCTTACATGGAGTATCAGTTGAAACAGTAAACAGTCGATGTCTGAAACCATTCGAATTGACTTTCAATTAAAAATTTATGGAGTATTATAAAGAAAATATTTAAATAAAATAACAAATAAGTAGTTTAACTGAATTGGGATATTAATATGTGATTTAAACAAAAGGTACATTGAGTGTAGAATAAGACATTGTTTATTTGCAATTATAAAATATTAGATAGACATTTAGAGAGAGAGGTTGGAGTTTTGAATTTTTGATATTTCATGCTCCAGATCTTGATGAGTTGGATAAATATAATGATGATGCTTTAACAAAAAAGGTGAAGTCTATTTTTCATTATTATGTGTTAAAATTACCACCTGATTCAATTTATAATTTAGCAGATCTGTATCAAATATCATGTTACAATTTCTAAACTAAAGTAAGTAAGATAATTGATTTTAGTACATATGTTAATTTAACTATAATAAGAGAGGTTTTTTTGAATTTCCAAAAGATCTATAAGTTCAGATGTTGATTTTAAATACCCTTAATGATGAGTTTGATGTTGATAAGTTTGTCTTAGAAAAGTTAATTATCTCACATTATCCTTTAGAGGATATTTAGAAGTGTGAAAAAATTACATAGTTTTGGGATGAATAATAGAATAATTGTATTCAAGATTCAATTCGATATGAAACATAACAAATAGCCTTGAGACCATTACATGCTGTTGCTTCATATTTTGGACCTGTAGTGGCATGGTATATAGCTTTAAATGTGTAGATAATAGGTTGGTTAATGATTCCATCAGTATTTGGGGCAGCTTTAGGAATATATATAATAATAACAGAGGAAGTGAAGTAAGTATATAGAGAAATAATTAGTTCTTCAATAGTTCCATTTTATGCATTGTTAATGACATTATGGTCAACTTTATTTATGGAGAAGTGGAAGAATAGAGAATCAGAGTTGAAATTTTGTTGGGATATGCATAAATTTAGACAAACCTAACCATAAAGAGTAATGTATAGAGGATAGTATATAATAAATGAGGCAACAAATAAAATATAGATCTATGATTACTTTACAACTTTTAAGAGAAGATTGATAGCAGAAGGGCCTGTAATATTGATAGGAATAGCAATAATAGTATTAAGTTTTTATGCTTTCAATCTTTGGTTACAAGAGTGGAAAGACGATTCTATAATGCCAATAGTGATAAATTCTTTGAATGGTGTTTCGATGACAGTGTTTTGTGATTTATACAAAAGATTATGTTCATCATTAGTAACTTGGGAAAATCATATGTATGAATCTGAATAAGAATACTCTTATATTTTGAAAGTATTCTTATTTGAATTTCTAATATCCTATGTATCTGTAGTTTATGTAGCTATATTTGAAAATGATGCTTCATAATTAAGTGTATCAGTTGCAAGTATTATTATAACAAGAGGAGTGATATCTAATGTAAAGAGTAACTTTTTACCTTATATTCTATTCAAATAAGAAAGGAGAATTCTAATTAATAAATTTACAGAATTCAAGGCATTATTCACAAAGAGATTGGCAGATAAGAAATAAGTTCCAAAAATTTGCAATCATAATTTTAGTACTGATAAATTGAGTTCAGAAATTCAATTATCATTTCTTTAAGAACTAGAAATAGGTAGAGTAAAATAACCATAAAAGGTTTTATATGATGAATACACAAGTATTGCAATCTAATTTGGATATACAACTATGTTTGCACCAACATTCCCAGCTGCTCCTTTATTTTTTATGATCAATTGTTATATCAATTTAAGATGGTCTATATATAATTACTAACATATTTTAAAAAGAGAAAGAGCTTAAGCTGCAGATTCGATAGGAATTTGGTTGCAAATTTTTGAAATTATGAATTATTGTGCAACATTTATGAATTGTATAGTTATTGGAACTGTTAATAAAGAATAATTTAAAGGAATTATTGGAAATTAAAATGCTTTGGTTAGTGCATTCTTCCTTGCTGCAATAGAACATATCTTATTACTTATAAAATACATTCTTGATGTTTCAATTCCAGACTGTCCATATTGGGTAGAAAAGGAACTTAGAAGATATGCATACCTAGAAGAAAAATACTAGAAAAATAATAATAATTGATCCTTAATTTATTTGTTTTATATTTATTATCAAAATAATAATATTGTAAAATTAGTAATGGAAGAATAACAATAGATTTATGAGGAACTTTGTATATCAATAGTGGAATCAGAGCATATAACAAAAAGCATTATGAAATAAATACTTCATTAAAGTTCATCAATCATTATTAATAAGCACATAAACTCAATCTTACCTTTGTTAGGATATAATTGGTTTAGAGAGTAGGTTATTGTTCTAATGGATAAATATAATTTAAGAAATGATGATTTTGAGGAAAATGTAATTGAAGACTCTGAACCTATTGCTGTCAATACTGAACATTGGAGAAGATGTTAAGGATAAGTTAAATAAGTTACATCCAGAGAAAATTCAAATTCTCCCATTATTAAGAGAAGTGATACTAAAAGAATGTCTAAATTAATGACTATTAAGACATCTAGATAAAGTGAATGTTTTAATTCATAACTTATTAAAATGGGTGAATTAGAAGAGGAATAAGAATTTGATCCTAATATTGAAAGTATTAGATAGGCTAAACTTAGACAAATATCAATTCAATAATAAAAAGAATAGAATGATAAAATTAAAATACTTGAAGTTTAAGAGTAAGTTAAACAATTGAAAAGATTGAATGTAGATTCTAAATCTAAATATACATTTGATTATGAAGGTAAGGTTGTTGTTTAAAAACCTCCAGATATAGAGAAATATCCAAAATCATTTCAAAATATCAGTGAAAAAAGAAATCTTGTAGAAGTCAGAGATCTTATACCGAATCATAAAATGCAATCTGAACTTATATAATTAACTAGTAAGACTAATTAAAATATTGGGACAAATAATTAATTTGCTATTAAAACATCTGTTCCATAAATTGATTTAATTATCATGAAAGAAGGCGTTACTTTTTATGATGGAAAACAAGAAAAGAAAAAAGATAGAGTCCTTCCCTTAATGGATATTAAAGATCCTGTTTAACTTTAATAAACTTTATAAAAATAGAATGTACAAATGTCAAAATTAGAATATCAATTAATTACTAGTACTTCATCAAATAATAATACTTTTTAAAATAAAACTATGAGTCTTTCCAATTATTAATAATAATAATAGAATTAATTGACTAATAGATCTTAATAACAAAATGATAATTTATTAAATATGAATGATAGTCTTTTAAGTTAAAGAGTACCTAAAAATATTACAACAATGAATCATTCTATCTCATCATCAATTTTATAAAAATTGAATGGCTCTATTTCTATATTAAGTGAATAATAACTTGAAGAATTGATTATACCTTAAACTGAAGGAAATAGAGATCAAAAAGATCATCCTCTCTTTCTTAAGAAAAAAAAAACAGAAATTGAAGTCAAACCCTCTAAATCTGTTCCCACTCTTACATTTGAACTACCATAAATTCCTTCAAATATTTTATCTAATACTTTAAGTAAACTACCTAAAACATTTTCAAGTTAAGGTACTTTTCCTAAATTAATTCCTAAATTTCCAAGACAAAGAATATCCAAGTAGGCTATATAATTAAAAATCGAAACATGAACTATTTTTATGTTAAATAATTAATATCAATATATAATTAAAAAAAATGAAAAAAAATTTAACAATTCAACTCAAATGATATTGAATTAAAAACTCAAAAATTCTTATGTTTTGGTAGTCCACCAAATTCAAATGAATTAAAATATCTACAAAGCAACTTAAATTAAATAAAGTTCTAAACTAATAGTTAATGCAAATTATTATCAATTCATATCTATAAGTTCTTAATCAGATATTAATATAATTAGGAATATTAGAAAACTTAAACCTGCACCAATAAATAAATCCGAAATAACGCTAAGTTATTAAAGAAAGAAAGATTGAGGCATAACATCTAAACATTCATTACTCCATTTAAATTTAATTGGAAAAAGCAACTTCTGATAAAATAGAAGAAATGATAAGAATGGGTGAGAAAAATTGAAGTGGAGAAGATATTTTGAGATAATTTATATATTATTATTAATTATTATTATTATTATTATTATTATTATTAGTATTATTATTATTATTATTATTATTATTATTATTATTATTATTATTATTATTATTATTATTATTATTATTATTATTATTATTATTATTATTATTAGTATTAGTATTAGTATTAGTATTAGTATTAGTATTATTAGTATTAAAATTATTTAATCCATTTCTTAATTTTATATAAGTATTCTAAGTATCAGAATATCTTTAAAGATTTTTAGTTGATAATTGATTCAATTTAGTAAATAATTATTTTATTTGAGTCTAAAAATAATTATAATAAATTTTTTAATTATTTTTATAAAGATTAAAATTTATATTCTATTGGAATCTATTAAAAATAATTGGATTTTAATTGTTTATTTGAAGAAAAAATAAAAAAGTAAAAAGATTAACCAGAAAAGATTATTATACTAATTTATTTTAATATTGAAAGTTAATGAGAACAATAAAAATTTGAAAAATATTTTAACAATGTTGTTATTTTTGGTACCTTTTCAGAATGAGGTATGTTTTCAATTATATCAAAGCTTAAAAAGTATTTTTTAGCAATTATTGCAGCTTCTTAATTTTCCATTACTTTTTTTAATATCCTCTCTTGTGTAATTTTTCATTTATTACAGTAAAATAAAATTCTTAATAATCTTTGTTATCCTTTTCTAATGGAAAACATCTTTTTCCTATTGGCTATAATACAGAATATTTATATTTTTAAATAATTATATTAAACTTTTCTTTATTCTACATAATATTACCTTATCTAAATAAGAATATCAAATATTACAATTCCTCTGATTAAAATTTCAATGCCAGTTTTTTGAAATACTGTGATTTAAATTAAAAATTTGATTAGTAAAACTCATCATATTACTATTTCTATTACTATTACTATTAATATTTTTATTATTTTTTTTCAAACCATACAAAAATATCCTACCAAGAGACACAAAAATAAGTAATTATGTTTGAATCAAGATCAAATATTAAATATGTAGATTTAATATTCCATGAATAAAAAATTATTTTTATCATACTAAGACTTCAAGTTATACTTATAAATCTAAGGTCTTTTTATAATTTTCTTTTAATACTGCATTTCTGAGATATAATATAATTATATAGTGCAGAATTTTTTTAATAATAGAATAATAGTTCTTCTATTATTTTTATCTTAAAATAATAAAATAAAATATATATATTAATTATAATGAATAAAATTACAATTGATTTAACAACATCTGAAGACCAACAAATATAAATAACTTGCAATGAAAATATGGCAGATTTTAAAAGAAAAGTTGCAGAATAGGAACTTTAGATCCCATTTGATCATATAGTTATTGTTGGTGAAGACGAGAAAGTTTATACGTAAACCTAGGCTTTTCAAGCCGAAAATTAACAAAAAATTTTTAAGGTTTTCGATGTTACTAAAATATATGAATAAAATAATCAATACAAGTAAGTAATACAAGACTTAAATTAATAACTATAATAAAAAGATCAAGAAATTTAATAGTTTAAAGTAAATATCGATTAACTCAATAAATAATAAAACCAATAGAGTTAAGAAGCTTAGTAATAGAAAAATCATTTTGAAAATTAAATTATATAAAATAATTAATAAAGTGAGTAAAAAATATAAGAATTATAGAATAAAATTTAAGAGCAAGAAACTTAATTACATTAAGTAAAAACCGAATATAAGGACTTATAAGAATAAAATAACAAACTTAATCAAGATTTAAACTAATCAAAGAATGAGAATACAAATCTAAACTAACTTATCAAAGAAATTAAAGAAAATTCATAATAAGAAATTTTATAATTACGGGATAAATTATAAGAAGCTTTACAGTATTATTAATATTATCTAAATTAATTTTAGTAATCATCATAATAATTAGTAGAACTGGGATAATAATTTTAGTGTTTATAATATTATTATTAAGAAGCTTAAAATGAAAAAATTGGAACCACTTAAACTATAGAACAATTAGAATAAGAAATACAAAAATTAAAGAATGAAAATAAGAATTAAAAAAAAAAAATGGAAGATGAATATGATTAATAGATTGAGTAAAAAGAAGAAGAAATTTAAAAATTAAGATATGATTTGCAGAAGAAGGATAAAAAATATTAAAATTTAGAAACAGAATTTTAAATTTTATAAAGTGAAAAGAACTAATACAATATTGGTCCCTGATTATGAGAATTATAAGATTTATTGAAACAAAAAATATAATTATTAATGGTAAAGATAATTCTTTCTATAAAAATTAAATCCTTTAAGCCCATGAGAAATATATAAATTAATATCTGTATATCAATATAAGTTATCAAAAAATCAATTTTAACAAATATTTTAATTCTTCATGTAGAAGTATAAGAGAGAGAAGACATTAAAAAAAAATAAAAATTTTAGAAAATGTAAACATACTAAAAACTGAGAAAAAATAGGCCTTAGAAATTGAAAACAATAGAATTATTTGATGAAATAAGAAAAAGATGAAGATATTGATAAAATATCTCTTTTCGAAAATAGTTACATGAATTTAAAATTTATTGTTAATTGATAGAATTAGATCAAAAACTTTTTTAAAGAGTGATATAATTATTTAATATCAGTTTCTATCAGTAACTATAGAAGAAAATATAGATATAAAGAAAACATTAATAAGAATAAATAACTGATATATAAATGTTATCACACTGATAAATTTTTGTGATTAATTAATCTATTAGATTATATATAATCATAACTATATTTTTATAAATAAAGTATTATGTAAAATAATCATCATTACTTTTATTATTTTGAAGATTCTCTTGGAGAAACTGTTAATTGTTCATCAGAAAATATACTTCCGACAAAATTTTTAGCTCTTGTACTCAATGGTTATTATGTTTCAATAGTATTTGGTTATTGTTATTACAATTTTTTGTTAGCAATAAAATAAGGTTTTTAGGGTATAGTAGTTTTTGTAGAATTTTAAGAATTTCCTATTCTTGAAGTAAATGGTTAAACAATGTTAGTAGGAGATTTTTAATTTTATTATGCTTAAGGAGTTGATACTTTATTTACATTTCTTGTTGAATCTGGTACTTATTGCATTTTATTATCGATTATACTATTCTAAATTTCTTAAGAAAGCTTTTTATTCTCTTCAAACCAAAATGGTTATTTAACAATGTTTTGAGAATCGAAATATCTTCTATTATTATATAACCATTTTATTTATGTTGAAGAATTTATAGTTACCCAATATATTTATTGTATTGAAAGCAAATTTTATAAACTCATAAATCGAAAAGAATCGAGTAATTTACAAAGCTATTATAATAATATGAGTAAAATACTTCTTATGTTGAAAATTTGTACATTACCATACAATCATTCCAAAGAACACAACTTATTTCTATAAATATATTTTTAAAATCTTAATTCTCAAATTATTTTAATGTATTTATGCATATATTTAATATTTGTATACATTAATTTAACAAATTATGTAATTTAAATAAATACAATATTTTCTATTCTATTGTTATACATCCAGTTTATTATTACATATGAAGTTCTAACTTTTTTTGTTAATAATTTCTATATTGTAAGTTTGTATCTCTAAAATTATTGTTTTTTTTCAAAATTTAAAACTATTAATATTATTAATCTCTAGTATTTTCAGAACATTAAGTGAAAGTTTAATCTTAATCAAAAATTGGATACTATCCTATTTTACAAGCATAAAACAATTTTAAATTTTGTGCAAGTCTTAACAAATACATTAAATAGTTTTAAACAAACATACTAAATTACTGATTTTATGAAACTCGAAGTGATGATCCTTCTTTTACCATTTCATCAGCAATAGAATCTCCTATTTAGAATTCATATAAAATTAAATGGATAGTTAAAGTAATCTTAATAGCAATGAAACCATTTAATTATTTATTTGTGATTGCTTTAAAAAACTATTATAAATATTCCTATCCTGTTAAATAAATTCCATTGCATTCTGAACCAAATCCTTCAAAACACTCTATCAAATACAATATATCAGTCATTAAAATTATTGGATTATTCTACATTATCGAACAATTATTCAATTTTTGTAAAAATGGTGTATGCTACTTTGATACTAAAGAGGATAATAAATTGCTGATTGATTTCATCAAAAATATTTTATTTTATTATTCAAAAAAAGTTTTACAAAAATCAAAATTATTACTTATAACAAAAAAGAAATTATAATATTTCTGACAATCTCTTATAATATTGTATATGCTCAGTTATTTATGTCATAAAAATAAATTAATATAAACAAACTAAATGTTCTTATCATAACAATAATATTTTTCTTTAAAGGAATTAATCAAATATACATGCCATATGTTTAAGTTTAATTTGGAAACAAAAATGAAAATTTTAATTTAATACAAAAAGGCACATCTAGCTTCGTAGTCAAAAGAAGCTTGCTATATTTATTTAAAATAATTTTTCTTAAGAAAATTCACTGCCATAAATTTCTGCTTATCTATTGAGCTTAAAAAATCAAAATTTCTAAACACAAGACTTAATGTATATATAAATTTCATTACATTTCTTTTTATATATAATATTCAAAATTATTTTCTAACTTTTTTTTCAAAATTCCAAAAATTGCTTCACATTAATTTATTCTTTTATTAATATTTTGTTTCAAAATGTAAGCAAAAGGAAACTTATATCCATTCTCTACAATCTATTTACTTAAAGTAAATCAAAGTTAAACCATCAAAATAAGGTATCAGTAGATTGTACTATTAGAATATGATTTATGAATTCTTCTTTTAATGATTTAATTTATTATTAAGTGATGTTTTAAAGTTGATATAGGTAAATTTTAATTGATCTATTATCTTCTGATCATCAGCAACTTTAATAAATAATTATAAAGTTTAAATATTTTATGATTTTTCAAAGTTAATTAATTTTTATTTCTTATTTTCAATCATTCTTTTTCATTATATGTATAATAAAGTAACCAAAATTTTGCTTTTGATATTATTATTTATTTAATTAATCAAGAAAGACATGTTCAAAAATAGGATTTCTAAGAATTCATAAACAAATCAGATATATTTGAACTGTCAATTGTTCATTTAGAAATAAATCATAAGCATAATATGTGTTTTGATTATTTTATAGAAAAATTGAATGAAAATAAATAATTTAAGTGATTTATCGTTGTTAGTAAACTCAAATTATAATAATAAAATAATTTTTTGAGATTGACAAAGAAAATATTGATTAGTTTTGGATAGCAAAACCTAAATAAAGGGAATGAAGATTAAATTGATATACTTAATAATTCGTTTAATTTTATTTATATAAATAAATTTTAAATGACTCGATATGTAATCAAAATCTTTATTTGAAGATTTCAATACTCCATTTAAGAGAATTTAGAAAATTCTTCAAATATATCGGCTCTCATTCTTACAGGTACAGAGGAACCATCAAATTAAAAAAATTAATTGATAAAGTTTTCATTTTCTTCCTCTTTTTAAGGAGTAAATGTTAATAAATTATGACTTTAAGCATAACTATTGATATTACTTTCATTAGATAGAAAGTTGATAAGTTGATGATCAACTTTAAGAAACTCATTTTCTGATGATTCAATAAATCTCTTATGAAACATTTATAATTATTAGACATCTTAAGGATGGCTAATGAAGCTAATATTATGTTTATCAGATTGAATGGATTGCAATATAGAATGAAGGTCTGATTAATGTTATTCTTCTTATTATTATTATATTGATTTATTTTATTAAATTTGTTCTATGATTTATGGTTCAATATCTACAATTCCAGTTTCAAGGGTATTTTGATTATTCAAAATTTCTACTTGATCATCATCTTTATTAAGTTATCTCTTTTGATTAGGTACTATATAATATGGATTTTCTTGTTTAGCATAATTCTTTCTAATATATCCATAAAATCTATTCTTAATCATGTTCTCCTAAAAAGATAATAAACTAAAATTTTTACTGGTCTTCCTTTTAGTTTCTTTGCCATCTCTGACCATCTTGATCCTATCTTTTTATATAAGGTCCATATTTTTAAATCTTCTTATTAACTCCATGGCTTAGTACTTATATTTGGGTCTAAATGATTTATATATCTTTCACGAATTTGCCTTCCAGTTCTATTTGAGAGAAAACGGGCTATCACTTTCCAATCAAATTTATATTCTTTAGTTAACCTCTTAACTTATTCATCTTCTTCAGGTGTCCATTTTTAATTTTTCTCTTCCTAAATAATGTAACAATCTAAATTTACAGTATCAGGCTTAACTCTTTTCCATCTTTAAGCACATTAACTAGCATTTCTTCCATTTAAATACTCAGCTATAAGTTTCCAATCTGAACCATGCAACTAAACACTAGATTTTAAGATATTATCTTCTTCAATTGTCCAATATTTTCTAGATTTATTACATTATTTGTATTTTTAACAATTATTTTAATCTTTACTAATCCTTTTCTTGATCATCTAAAAAAATAATTAATTATTTATTTTGGTTGTTAAGTTATATTTAAATACAAAACCAAGTATATGTTTCAATCAGATTAAAACGGTAAAATACAACTTATCCTACCTTTAAATTCAAAGTTATTTCAAATATTTTACAAAATAAGCTAAATTTAATTACTCATCTAAAATATTATTTATTCTCAAAAATAATTTACCAACTCTATATTTATCCTTAACAATATCTGTTTATTTATTATTCTATTTACATTAATCTTCCATTAAGTATCTCATTTTCACATTAAAAACATTATAATCAAATTTTCATTAGACAATACCAATAACAAAATAACAACATTATATAATTTCAACAAAAAACTGCCAACAAAAGCACTTCGAGTATATTATTATCTTAAATTTCTTAATATTATATCCTTTAATGACTTTTTATATTCTTTTTTATCTAAAATATTCCATTGCTTATTCATATTCGATAATGGTAGAATTTAGATTGAGATTGTAATATTTCTTTTATATATTTAAATAATATTTTTTATCAATTGATCTGTATATATCAAGAATTTTAAAAGAATTCATTTTCATTATTGAAACTACTCCTAATAAATTATATTTATTTCAATCAAAGATATTAAAAATGGATTTACTCTTTGGAATAAAATTTCATTATTAAACCAAAAGTGTATGCTTTTTATTAATTCTCCCTTCTCAATTTGCCGTTATCATTACAAAATTTAACAAATTTTCTTATATTATTCAATTTCACCCATATGTAAAAAGAAAAATCATCTTCTATAAAATTAACTTTATTTTATTAACTGTAATACACATTAATTGAATAGTTGATAGTATCAGCTAACAACTTAATATAATTTATCTGTTTCATCTTTTTTGAGAAGTTATTACCTCAAGAATTTCTTATTTAACAAAGATAATTTGAATCAAAATTTGAAAAAAAATGTTATGCTTTCTTAATGTAGAATTGCAAACGTAAAATTTATTTTGCAGTAAATAAATGTCATAAAATGTGTTTATTATTCAAATTTACCATAATAATATTCAAAATATTTTTGCTTGAACAAATTAAGTCTAAACAGTAACAAATTTATTTTTCATGTGGATCAGATTATGAAACAATACTATAAATCTTTTGTTTATCGGTTTATTACATTTACCCTATTGGTTATTAAAATTTAAGCTAACATTCTAAATTTTCAATATCCAATATTTATAAGTTAAAATAAACAGATTTACAAAATTTTTGAATAGTTTTTATAGTTCTTTCATTTTCAGCATTTAAAACTAATTTAAAGAAATAAAAAAATAGGGTTTGCTTTAAAAAAATATTTTTAACATTAATTTAATATAATTTATTTAACATTAACTTTTATATTATTGTAATAAAAAGAGGATATTTGAATCAAAAAAGAAAAAAATGTAATAATTGATAGAAATTATTGCTCATGCCCATAACAGTATTTATTAAGAATAATGAAATCATTAAAATTATAGATATAATTTGGTCTAAATGTTGAAAATAAGCTTATGTTTATAAATAAATTAATATTAAAATCTCTAATATTAATTAAATATCTTTTTTTCTAGAGATTTTTCATATTTTTTAATAAATTTCATGGGTGTGTTTTAAATACTGACTGAATGTTTAGCAATTCTAATTATTTAATTAGGAAGAATTACCGTTTTAATAATTTTACTATTATTGATATATAGTTATAGATATTAAATTGTAAAAAAATTACATTCTACAATTATAGTAAATGCTGAACCAATAAAATTGGATAAATTATCAAACTTATCTCATTATGATTTAACGTATGAATCAACAATGTATTTATAATGATACTAATTATATATTTTATTATTTAAAAATAAAATTATAAGCCTGTTTCTATTTTCTCAAAAATAATATTCAAGAATAAATAACAATAAAAAAAAAATCCGAACAAATTAAAATAAAAATTCAAACTAGATTTTCTTTAGCAATTAATTATCTTAATTATCTCTCAAATAAATCATCAATAAATAATGCAGCCTATGGTAATAAGATTGTTAATTTTTTAATATTTTGGAATTCATTCAAATAATGGGTCCTAATAAAAAAAAGAATTAAAATTATCTTAAGGAAAGTAAATATTAAATATATGATGGAAACAATCTAAAATATAAATTTTAGAATTACCTAAATAGTTATATTTAATTAATCGGCTTAATTCGATAATTCAATTTTTATAGTTTATAAAACATTCATAAGAATGGTGCTCAAATAAATGCCAATTTCTATTTCATTAAATGGTGGGTTAGTTCTTTAGGAAAAAGATTAGGAATTATTCATTTCAGTCAATAGTACATCTCTAATTTTTGTGATTGTAATAGACAGACCCCTATCCATAACATTTTCATAAATTTGTTTACATAAATATTGTTACTGTAAATCAAATGTCTTAGCAATGATATCCTCTTCACATAATGTATGATTATTTAATTCCAATAATTTCTAATCATTATAATTACTCTCTAAAAATGTATAAGTTTATAAATAACTGCTCAAAACATCTAAACTACTCTAAATAATTTATAAATATTAGGTTGTTAAATTATCAGATATATATTCAGAACCCGTAAAGTTATTACTTCTCAAATAAAGCAATTCTCTTTTGCTATAGGCTTTAGGAATAGATATGGAAAGTTCACCTATATAATTATATTGTTAACTTTTCATTTGATAGAAATCCATAAACTTAATTCCTTAAAAATTCATAACAAATGAAAAAAGAAAGAAAATACCAAATAAACTTGAGAAAAAAATAAAACTACTAGCCCTACTTAGTAATAGCTTTTATTTTGAATCCAATTTTATGAATCCTGTTCTCTTAATCTTCTCTTAGATTATATGTTTCTTAGATAATTCACTTCTAAAGAATCTTTCCTTTAATAATATATTAAATTTATATCTAAACATTAAATTAGAATCTTTGTTTAGTAAACTCAATAATTCCTTGCATCTTTCCAAATCTCTAAAAACCCAAACTATATCTACTTTTTGAAATAATTTTAACATTTTTGAGTACTTTCTTAAATGTTTAAGATATAATATCCAAGCAGATAACTAAAAGAATAGAATTAAATAAGTGCATCTAACACAAAGAATAATCCACTTATGTTATAATAATAAATTACTATCACTAATATAAGTTATAATTTCTGTATTTAAGTTGAATATTTCATTTTCAATTTCATCCAAATTTATGATAAACTGTATAAATTATTAAATCATTTATTCTAATTTATTATCCTAACTATATATGGACTAGAAGTTGTATAAATATTGAATAATTTAAAAAATTGCTTCACGTAATGAAATTTCTTCAATACTAAAATCATTTTCTTTAATGTATTTAAAATTTATTATTTTTGTTGAAAGTTCTTATTATAACAAATTACCTTTGGTTTAATTGGAGTAACTTTGTTTTATATTTGCAAATGATTAATTTATGTTATACTAATGATATTAGATTAAAAATTCTATTAATTATGTTTAATTATGATCAAATGATTCATATCTATAATTATATGATGAAGTAAATGATGATAAAAATAAATAACAAGGATTCATGTAAGAAGTATAAAATTCTAACATTTGCAATTAACTTAATGCACTATAAATATCAGAACTTGAATTATTGATTAAAATGATAGCAAATATAATTGATATTAATGAAACAACTAAAAGTGAAAATATCATTAAATCAAAAATAATTGAAAATTTGACAGATGAAACTATTTATTGGAGTAATTCATATTTTTTATACAATTAAAAATTTTATGAAAAAGTTCCTAAAGTACTAGAGGCTGCATTATCTAAATTAACTTTCTTGGCATGTATAGTAGTTTGATTTTCTTCATATAATTATTACCTTAAATTTTCTCTGATTTCAGCATTTTATTAATTTTAATCATAGTTGTTTAATTATGCAAATCCCTTATTAACTCCTGATTAATTAGATTAAGATTGTTCCTTTTCTTTTTCTTCAATTTAATTTAAAAAAAATCTTTGTTAACAACTTAAATTTATTTAATGAGTTGCAAAACTCGTTGTTTTATCAATTAATTATCTATTACTTCTTTAAGGGCTTATTAATTCAAATTATTAAACAGATTCTGATATCAATTATCTTTATTAAAGAGACATAACTCTATTAGTTTCAATTTAATCAAGATGTTCGGGAATTTCTTCTTAAATAAAACAATCATTTTAAATATCTAATTCTTTTTTAAGTTTTGGAAATAAATCATCATTAAATTAATTAGGTTATTAAATATGGAATTCTTCCATAAAATCATAAAGTTCTTATTCAAAATAATCTTAATCATTAGTATCTAATTAAATTGATTTTTTTGATTCCAATACATTTTTTATTTCAATAATAGAATGAGTTTATCTTATAGTTACCATTATATTTGCATAATAAAATCTAATACAATCAGGATTTTTTTTCATTTAATCATAATAAGTTTAAAAAGAAGATTTTTAACCTGTTTGATTTTTATCATTGAAAATAATTTAAACGTTAGAAATAGGTTAACTTTTATCTATTTTATTTTAATCTATCAATGAATAATATTCTGGAATTAATTATTGAATATCAGTTAAGTAAAATAAATCTGGCAATTTTTCATATTCACATTCTTATAATTTCAATTACTTACATAATTCTTTAGTAATACCTAAAATTAGATGTTTGTTATTTAGAATGAGATATGAATTTGTTGTATTATTTTCTGAAAAAAAAACTTAAAAAGTTAGTTCTTACAATTTTGTAAGGTCAAAATCAAAGAAAAAATCAACTGGACTTAAAAATAAATCTTTTTATAAAATTAAATTCACATTTTATTCTCTAAAGAATTTAGATCTACCAAAAATAAGAAAATCTTCTATTAAGTGTTTATGAATAGTTGAGAATCCTCTTGGTAATAAGGAAAGTATAGATTTAACTTCTTTAAATTCTTATTAATCATATTCACCTATTTTGTGCATTTAATGTGATCTTTCTACTATCTATAATCCTGTTCCTTAGTGATCCATAACTAAGATCATATAATGTAATTAAGTAGTTAATAAATCAACTTGATAATTTTTTTATATTTTAATTAAAGCATTATCAGAAATTGAATTATAATTTATAATCCTAAAGGCCTATAAAAAATTATTTAATATTTCTGCACAATAAAATGAATAAATGGATTACATTTTTTTGCTTGGAAATTCTTAAAACAGATGTTATAATTAATTTTCCATAAAATTGATTTTTCTTATCAACTCTAAACATTAATGCAAGAATCTTTCAGGATTTAATCTTGTAGTTGAAGACATTATCATAAAGATATCTTTCTTTCTATTGATAATATTTGTAATATTCTGTTTTAATTATTGATGCTACTCTTCTACTTTCATAAATAATTGTACACTTTAGCTTAATTATGTTTTTTGGACAATATTTCCAAAACTAAAGCTAGAAATTAAATTTTATTTTGCTATTTCTAAAATTATACTAATTTTTATAAGATTAATATAACTAATGTAATTTAAGGAGATCTTTTCTAACTTGTGAATAATATTAGAGTTGCTCTTCTTTTTATAAACATTTTAATTTTCTTCAATTGTCATAGAATATGTAGTTTGCTCACTAAACATATTTTATTAATCAATATTTTAATGAACATTTTATTTTAGTAGTAATATATTAGTTTATTGATAAGCTTTTACTGATTAATTGATTGCTATTAGACTCTATATATAAAATAAGGCGAAGAATCCCCTTAAACTTTAATCAGTTAATTTATTAATGGATTTACCAAAATCCAATATTAATTACTTTAGATAAAGTTATCTTAATTTTATTTCATTTTTAGCCAATCCTTAAATTTTACATGAACATGATTAATCTTGGCAATTGATTTTATGATGAAATAAAAATAAAGATAGACTAAATTATTAAATATTATTCAATGAAGCTTTTTATGAAAAAACAGTGATTAAATATTATTGAGTAAAGGTAGATTGATTTTCAGGAAGAATAACTAACATATTACAATCAAGCTTTTTTTTTAATTATTAAATAATTGTTATCATTAAACTTGGAACAATTACAATAATAATTATTAAATTCTTTTTGTCTTCTATAAATTTATTACCCATTAAAATTGCTGATATTATAATAAATGCTACATTCAAATTAATTAAGTAATCTTATATTTCAATTACATATTGATACTTTGTTATTAATTAATTTAATTTTATGACGGATGAAATTACAAACATAATAAAAATTAGATAATTCTTAACAGCGTTTTCTAAATTTATACAATCAAATATCACTATTATATAAATTATAAATGTTTAAAAATAGTCTAATCCCTAAAATATTAGTACTTTAAAATTAAATTGTTATAATGTAATCGCTTCTTTAAGTAACATTAAATATAATAATTGTATCCAAAATATTAGAATTAAGGTTAAAATAGAAAATAATGTATTAATAAATTCCACTGCTCCAAAAGATTCTATATTAATATTTTTGTAAGTGGAATAACATGCCAATTAAATGCATGGAATACATAAAAGCTTATCAAAAATTGCTAAAAACAATAAATTTAAACTATGAAATATAAGTTTAATATTATTGCTTTTAATTACATATTCAGTTATATTTTTTTAAGACTAGTTTGAAAATAAAAAAAATGTAATCATTTAGTGTGATAAATATAACAATATAATTGTTAATGGGATAGTGTAAGAATATAAAAAAAAGTTATCCTGTAAAATTAATTTATATGGTCTTGAAATAATTGAAATAATATTCAACCCATAATCGATATTCATTAATGGTAAGTTAAGTAATTCTTCGTTTAAATTTAATACTACAATTCCAAATATCTAAAATTCTGAAATCAAATGAATCAAATACAAACAAAATTTATTTAAGTTTATAAAATTCATCTCAAGCAAATTATGATAACTAGCGACATAATAATTAAAGCTTTTCAATAAATTAAATTACATCATCTTAAACAAATTTGTCAAGCTAATTTCTTTATAATCTAATTTTATTTTATATTAATAAAAAATATATAATCAACATTGATAAGCGAAATTTATTATTTTTTATAGCAAAGCATACTTCTGTTACTTTATTTATGAATTTTTAATAAATTTTTTAATAATGATGATAAATCATCAATTTTTTTACATTTTTTAATGAACTCTAAAAATAGTAAAACCCATATACAATTTCTAATTTGTATTGGAATATGAATTAATAAAAAAATAATTACTTAAGACATAAAATTTCATTTATATTTAAACAAACAAAGTTGATGGTATTATTTTTTTTTTAAATTCTTATTCATTTATTTTGAAATTTAATTTGCATCCAAATAATTGATAAAATAATGATGAAATAAGGATGTGCTGAACATCCTGTTTGAATCAGAATTAAAAACTTGTTGTTAACATAATGATAAATGAGACATTTTTTAGTTTTATTTGATTGATATAATATTTTATTATATACAGTTAATAAATTAACATTAATTTTTTACTAGATAATCATTTCTAAATCTTTTATATGTGTTTAATATTATTTTTCAAATGAAATCGGCTTCTAAATCGGCTTCGATGATCATTACAATGTTCACATAACAAAAGTAAACATTATAATGATTTTTAAGTTAAGAAATGCAACTTGCTTAAGCTAAAAAAGAATTCGATGAAATGGCAAAGGAAATTGCAGATAGAAGAAAAAAGTTACTGTTTTAATTAGATAAGGGTAAGAAAAAGGAAAATGAGAAAGTTGATGCTTCTAAAGCAGAAAAATTCAAATCTATGGTATTATTTAAATTAAATTTAAGGATGAGCACAGAATTCCGTTAGAAGAACTAGAACAGAGATTCCAAACAAATGTAAAAACTGGGCTAACGAAAGAAATTGCGGATTAAAAGTTAATAGAGTTTGGAAAAAATGAACTGAGTTAGAAGGAAAAAGAGCCTTGGTATATGAAATTAATTCATGAATTAACCTCCATGTTTGCTATGCTATTATGGGTTGGAGCTGGATTATGCTTTTTGGCATATGGACTTGCTCCTGAAGATCCATCAAATGTAATTATTTTATTATAAAACATTAGTTATATTTAGGTGTAGTAATTATGGTAGTGAACACTCTTACAGGAATAGTAACATTTTTTTAAAATGCAAAATCTGAAGCCATTATGGATGCTTTTAAGAATTTTATTCCCCCTGAAACATTAGTCATTCGAGATGGGCAACAATAAAAATTTCCAGCAACTAATTTAGTTCCTGGAGATGTTGTTGTTATAGAAAATGGTAAAAGAATTCCTGCAGACATAAGAATTTTGGAAAGCAATGAAATGAAGGTGGATAATTCAAGTCTTACAGGAGAATCTTTATTATTATTAAGATCTCCAGAATGCACTAATCAAACAAATCCATTAGAAACAAAAAATCTTGCCTTTTTTGGAACTCTTTGTAAAGAAGTATTAATAAATTAATATAAATTAGGGAAACGGTAAAGGTATTGTTCTCTTTACAGGTGATAGTACAGTTATAGGTTAAATTGCTGGTTTGGTAGAAAGTTCAGGAGGAGATGATACTACACTTAGAAAAGAACTTAACGTATTTATCAAATATATTGCTGTTATTGCTATCTCTGTTGGAGTATTATTTTTTGTATTGGGTTTTATTATTGGATATCGTAATTAATAATATATTATTTTTAGCTGCTATTACAAATCTTGTATTTGCTATTGGTATCATTGTGGCAAATGTTCCAGAGGGACTTTTGGCAACAGTAACGGTGGCTTTAACTTTAACAGCGAAAAAGCTTGCTTCTAAAAAGGTTTTAGTTAAGAATTTAGAGGGAGTTGAAACATTAGGATCAACGTAAATTTTAATAAATAAATATATATAGATCATGTATTTGTTCAGATAAAACTGGAACATTAACTTAAAATAAAATGACAGTTGAAAATTTATGGTATAACAATAAAAAATACAAGGGAATGAATAGAGAGAAAATGGGACCAAAATATCACTATGAATATGATTTAAATGAAGTGGGTTTTAAAACTTTACATGAAACTGCAATTCTTTGTTCCGAAGCAACTTTTGATAATTCTTTACCTTAAGAATAATAAATAAAAATATAAAATGCAATAGGTCTAAGTTAATAATAGAAAGATTAAAAATTAAAGGAGGCTTAAGAAAAATGGGATTAGAATTTTTAAAAAATGACATGTTAAGAGAAACCAACAATTGGTGATGCTTCAGAAACAGCTTTAATAAAATTTTTCTAACCAATAAATGATATATTATAAACAAGAAATAGTAGATAGGTTGCAAAAGATAGTGAAAATAAGATGGCAAAGATGCCATTTAATTCAACTAATAAATACGCATTTATAATAGTTGAATATGAGACATAAGATTCACATTTTTGTTTATTAACAAAAGGTGCTCCAGAAAGAATATGGGCACTTTGTGATTAAGCATATAATAATGGTAAGGTAGAATAGAAAGATGAAAAATGGGAATAATCATTTTTATAAATTAATGAATAATTTGGAAGATAAGGAGAAAGAGTTCTTGGATTTTCAAAGCTACATTTACCAAAAGATTAATATCCAATTGGTTATTAATTTAACCTAGATAAAATGAATTTTCCATTTAATAAATAAGTATTTGTAGGTTTGATATCTTTAATTGATCCTCCTAAAGATAGTGTACCATATGCAGTAATAAAATGTAAGACTGCAGGTATTTAAGTTATAATGGTAACTGGTGATCAGCCAGTAACAGCTGCTGCAATAGCAAGATAATGTAATATAATAACAGAGAAAACAGTTGATGAAATAATGAAAGAAAAGAATATAACTTTTGAGGAAGCATTTCATTAATCAAATGCTTTAGTAATTCATGGAGATAAATTAACAAAGATGGCAATAGATGATGAAGGTTTACCTGAAGATGAGAAAGGAAGATAATTATAAGAATGGTTGGGTAAACCATAATTAGTATTTGCAAGAACAAGTCCAGCATAGAAATTAATAATAGTAGCTGGTTGTTAAAGAAAAGGACATATAGTAGCTGTAACAGGTGATGGTGTAAATGACAGTCCAGCTATAAAGAAAGCAGATATTGGAATTGCAATGGGTATTACTGGATCTGATGTTGCAAAAGATGCTGCTGATATGATTTTATTAAATGATGATTTCTCTAGTATTGTTGTAGGAATAGAAGAAGGAAGAAAGATTTTCGATAATCTAAAAAAGAGTATTGCTTATTGTTTAACATCAAATATATCAGAATTACTACCATTTCTAGGTTTTGTTATATTCAGAATTCCTTTACCATTAACAACAGTATTAATTTTGTGTATTGATATTGGAACAGATATCTTTCCATGTACTACCTATGTTTTTGAAGATGCAGAAATAGATATTATGACAAGAAGACCTAGATCTTAAGATGAACATCTAGTAAGTGGTAAACTATTAATATATGCATATGTTTAAAATGGAGTACTTTCAACATATTGTGGATATTTCTAATGGTTTGTTACACTATATGATTTTGGATATAATCCTTCAGATTTACTATTTATTGGAGTTAGAGAAACTGTATTACCAAAAGAAACTGATGTTTATGATCCTAGTGATCCTTGGTTTGGTAATTCGAATTTAAAAGCAATTAAAGAATTTGAAAATGGATAATGTGATGGAGATGAAGGTTTTGTTTAAAATAAAACAGAAATTGATTGGATTTATGCTAATCATGCTAAATTAGATTTAAGAATGGCTTATATTGAATGCAAAGATGGAAAATTAAAAGAAACATTTAATTGGGCTCCATGTAATGTTAATTTAATTTCACCTTATACAAAAAGACCTTATTGTTACTCTACTGAAGCATCAAATTATGGCTAAACTTCATTCTTTTATGGTATTGTTGTTGGCCAACTCACTAATTATTAAGGATTAAGATCTTTAAAGAATGCAGGAGTCTATTAAGGTTTATAAGAATATGTATATTTTTAGGATTCTCTAATTATTATATGTTTTTCGGATTCTGGGTAGAATTTATGTTGACTGTGGCTTTGTCATATGTTTAAGTTTTTAATACTATTTTTGGAACTAGAGATTTACTATTCATACATTATGGAGTATCTGCTCTTCCATTTGCATTAATTATGTTATTATGGGCTGAAGGAAGGAAATGGATGGTATAAATCTATTCATTTATTCTTTTTAGATTAGAAATTCAAAATCCAATAACAGTTGTCCAAGTTGGTGGGAAAGATGTGTTGTATTTTGATTAAGTATTGATATTCAAAATATACAAATAATTTAAATTATTATGTAAAATCAATAGGATTAATTTGATTTGGATTTCAATCTTTCATATTCCTTAGATTTCAATAAACACTTTTACAAATTACCTAATTAAACTTCATGTGATTTCCAAGGTTAAAGAACCTAACTAATTGTATTTTAATCTATAAATCCAGATTGATTCCAAAGTTAAATAACTTCCTCTAGATGTTTAAGATTCTACTTAATTAATTGCTATTACTTTATGTCAATATCTCTAAATTTGGGATGTTAATCATATATTAAATGATTATTTCTATCCATTTTAATTACCTCCATCCTTTTTATTGGAAATTGTCACATTTTCCCTTATCGACCTGATTTATTATAGGTTATCATATTAATATTATTAATTAGAATGAATATCATTAAGTTAAAGATCTAAACAATTCATAAATATCTTAAATATTTTAATCAGGAACTTTTGAAATTTAATCCATGTAATTCTAAATACCATATGTTTGGTAAATATCTTCATTCATTGTTAAAGGTAAATCTAATCCTATTCTATTCTTCAGGTCGATTTAATATTACTAAAAGTTATTACTAAGATATTGGAATTGCATATCATATTTATAAATTTGAAAAAAACTCTATCTATCATGAAAATGATTACAATGGAAATAAATTTACATTACGTTGTTCCATTTATAATATCTTTTCTGTATCATCTATACTATTTATATCTAGAAATTAACATTATATCTTAGCTTATTATTTGGATTTCGTGAAACATGTACAAATATTAATATTAATCAACTTAAAAATCAAATTGAGGCCAAAAGATAATTTGATCTTAGATTAACTGATTTATACAATAGATAATTATATGAGTTCTTACACTTTTAGGACAATTAAGAATCATAATTTATTGCAGGAGAAAATATGAAAAACTTAATTAAACTTCAATAAGACTTTAGAGATCATTATTAAGGAATCAAATTAGCTATATAAAATTAATTTGATTATTTAATTTAATAATCTGAAAACAGTTCAAAATTTGATGACAATGAAGAACAGAAAGAATATTTAGACAATATTAATGAATAATTTACCCTTTTAGATAAAGATTATCTTGAAGAATATGGAATTTAAGTTAATACCTAATAAGATGTTAATGAATAAATTAATCAAGCAACCTCTCTGGCTCAATTAAAATTTTGGTAATAAAAGTTTGAAAATGATCTTCTTTTAATTAAAAATATAAATGATTTAAATGAATGTAAAAGAGCTTAAAACTATTTCTAAGATTTAATAAATGTAAAATAACTTAATATTTATAATAGAATGAATTACAACAATAAATGAGTGAACTTGAAAAGAAATTAATAGAAGATCATCCTATTCGTTCAAAATCATATCATTTTATTAATGAATAAAGATCTAAATTCAGAACATAAATGAAAAAGAGATTAAAAGAGAAATATAGAATCTTATTAATTGAAGATTTGAAAAAATAAAAAATTAAAGAAGTTGAACTTTATTTAAACTACCTTCAATAAAAAAGTCAAATGAAAAAAGAATTGAAGGAGCTAATTAATAAAGAAGAATAACAGTCTAAAAGAATGAATATTAGAATAGAATTGTAAGACTATAAGATTAGTTTTAATAGAACTCGTCGATGTTTTCCTCCTTATAATGTACTTAGAATCGGAGATACCTTTAGTCTTGAAAGAAAGAAGAAGTACACAGTAAATTCAAGTTTCCCTTTATGGAAATTTTATTTATTCTTAATTAGATACTTTACATGGACAGTTAATGTTATTTTCTGGTTGTTTGTAAATGGAATTTCTGGACATTTAGGAATCAGAGCTTTATTTTAATGCAAGTATAATATATTTCTAATTATATTTAGTGTTTTCTATCCTGATGTTGAAATTAATATGAGAACAGGTGTAATTAGTCATACAAATTATTCAGTTACACCTGTAGTTGTTCATATGGCAAATGTTTGTAAAGGAATAAATCAATCAAGAAGAGATTTTGAAAACTCACCTGATACAGGTTTCTTTGGAAAGAATTGTGCTCGTATTTGTAATTATGTTGAAGTTTACTTTTTTCGTTTTTTTATTGTTGGAATTATAGGAGTCTTAATTATAATTCCTATTTTGATTCTTACTAATTTTACAATATCTTTAGTTTTAGCATTAACTGCTTGGGCATGGATACCTATTTTATTGATTTTAAGGTTTATTCTATTAATATTAACAATAGTTAGTTAATTTAATTACTAATATATGATTTTGATTGTTAAGATAGAGAATAATCGAATATATTTTCGTCTCCAATTTGGTTCCCTTTATTTTTGAATACTTATGATTTCATTGTAAAAGGAATCTTGAATTTTATCATAAATATATTACTTTGTCTGATTATTTTACCTTTAAGTAGTATTTTTATGATAATATTTGGACACTTAAGATATGTATTTAGATCATTATATGATTGCTTGATGATATTAGTAAATTAGATGTACTAAAATTTTAGTTTGTGAAATGTTTTGGAAGAGTTCCTGCAATAGAAAATTGGTTAGCTTGGAAAATATCTGGTCCTGGAATTTCTAGATAATATTATTTTACTGTATATATATATTTTTTATAAATAGATAAAAAAGGAAGAAGTCTTAATATTGGTTGCTGGACAATTAGAAAAATGTATATTAAATGAGTATCAGAGAAGAGTCGAAGATGAAATCAATGCTCCTTAAAAATAAGTTTAGACTGTTATGAATAACTTTTTTTCTGTTTTTGGAGTATTAAAATTGATTGATTCTTTATAGGCTTCATATAATTTTCATGATAAAGGTTGCGATAAGTTAATATAAAGTTTACATTAATAAATTAACCAAAGAATTTCAATTTTACCAACAATTTAAAATAATGTAAGATTTACTGAATCTGAAATAATTGTGATTAGAATGCTTATAAAACAATTTATTAAGAATTAGATAAAACTTAAGGACATGAAAAATTAGATTTGGAAATATTTTTAAGTTTAGAAAGGAGATTATAATGAATTAACATCATAAATATTGAAATAATGTTTTGGTCATTAGGTTTTGACTCCTTTAGAAGATATAGATTTAAGATTTTAATTAGTATTAATAAATTTTGTAAATTTTTTAGTAAACAGATGAAAATTATAATATATCTAAAAAGATATCAAAGGCATTGGAAGGACAAGTAAATTTAAATTAACCAATAAATTTTATTGTGAGATAAAATAATGTTTAAAAGAAATAAACAACTTCGAAATAGTTTTTTGAATATTCAGGAGTATTATTAATAAGATAATTAGATTATTTAAGAAGTATGGGGTTGTCAATCAATATATTAAACTTGGTCAACACTAGCAGATAAATCAAAAAGATTCTATATCAATTATTGTTTAAATTTTAATTAAGTAGTATGAGTATACTTCTATTTAATTTTTGTATTATGTTATATAGTGCCCTAGCTTTTTTAAGAATTAAATATTATTTTCTAATTTAAAATTATTAAACAGGTTAAATTGTGATTAAAAATGAGAACTAATACAATCATAAAAATGTATAAGTAATTCTTATTTAATGATAATATTATAAAAATTAAGAATTCGATTTGTGTTTCAAATGAATAAAAAAATCAATAATCATATTTTACTTTGTCTTCTTGTTTTGCCCTTTTGGTATTTACTAATCCAATATATTCACACATCTAAATAAATGAACATGTTGGATTGATCATCCACCATTCATTTTTAGAAGCTCTCCAATCTCTTGGATATTCATGATGCCAATTATGCCATCCTTCACCTAAGGTAATTAATGAGACAAAAATGTTATCTCTTGGTTCAATTCTTGGATTCCATTTTCTACTTCCATAAAAATGACAGATTGAATTAACACACCTACATTAAATTTATAAGAAATACCATGTTGCATTCAATGTAAAGATGTATTTTCCAAAACCTAAGAACAACAAACTGAAGAACCATTTGTCACTTATAATTAAACCAGTCAAAGTTGGAATTATAAAAGCCCAAAGGAAAGCCATTTTATAATAATGTCTCTTTTAGAACATAACAACAGAATCAGCTTTCAAATCAGATAAATCAAGTTTCATTCCTTCATCAACTAGCTCTTTACTCTTTTTTTTCAATAACCATCCACAATGTGAAAAAAATAATCCTAATTAAGAATTATGTGGATCTAATGGTGTATCCTTTAAATATTTATAGTTTATATACACTAAATTTATGATGAAGTCTGTGATCTCTACTCCAATGCCAAATACTTCCTTAAAAACAATTTGAATTCATAAACATTAAAAACACTCTAATTGGCCATGATGCTTTATATGATTTATGTGCCCATAATCTATGTGCTCCACCTGTGATTCCTAAACCTGTTAAGCTATGCCAAATTAAGAAAGCCTAAATTTAACTAATTTTTTTACTAGGTAGTATTTATAAAACAATTCAGACTCCAAGAAGAAACTCCAAATTATACCTATCATTCCCAATACATGACAGTATAATAGCCAACCTGATTCAATTAACTTTATATCATTTTTCTCACAGTACTTGACGATGGTCTCAAATATTTACATTAATATTATATTTTATTAGATTTTTAATTCTCTTCATTGCTTTTAAACCCTATAATGACGTATAATTATAAAAATATTTAGAAAAATATTTATTCCTATAATTTATACAACTAATTATTTTATTATTCAAAAATTATATTGCTTTACTATTTTATGATGCTTTCTAATAGAATTCTATTAAATAATATTCATAAATTCATCAATTTTAGAATAATTAACATATACAATCATTTTGTATTAAAATGATTTAAATATTTTATGTTATTATTTGAATAGTTTTATATTTTATTGAATTTTTCTAATCATTCAAACAATATTTTTAATTCATACACTATAGATTTAATTGAGTTCTAAATTAATTAAAGTGAATGTAAATATACAATTATTACAGAATCGAATATGTTATAAAAATCATTATTGAAACCATTAATCTTTGATTATCTAATGTTATAGATTATATCCATACTTCCTTTGTATTACATCTCTCATAAGATCTAACTCTCAACATATTATTAATTAGTCTTTATGCTTGTTAAGATATTCCATTAGATGAAAAGATACCTGTTTTTATTTTAGTAAATAATTCTTTTTGTTCTTTCCCTTAAAAAGGAAACTTTCCATGTAACATAACATAAAGTAATATTCCTAATGACCAAATATCAGCTGGTTTTCCATAATCAATTTTTAGAATTATTTCTGGTGCCATATATCTATTAAATTTTATAAAAGTGATTACGAAGGTGTTCCACAATAAGAAATAGTTTTATGTTCAATAAATGAACTAAAACCAAAGTCAATCAATTTAATTTTGTTATCTCTTATTAAAATATTTTCTAATTTTATGTCACGATGGATCTTTTAAATTTATAAATAAAAAAAATTACAATATTTTTAGAATGACAATAGTCAATAGCTTTGACAACTTAAAGAAAAATGTTCTTTGCCTCATTCTCAGGAATTAATTTATTTGGTTATTACTTAAGATATTATCTTAATGATAATGGACCGGCATATTCCATAACTAATTGCACTTGCGTCTGAATATTAAAAGATATACATCAGTGTAAATAACATCAAGTAATTATACAATATTTGGATGTTATAAAGAAGACAATATCTAGATTTCTTTTCTTATATATTCTTTTTTTTAAATAATCTTCATCCTTTCGTAAATCTTTATTGCTACCTACTATCCATTTAATAAATTTAATCCAACTTTTACTATTCCATAACTACCTTATCCAATCTATTCTTATATTAGATAATTTTCAATGTTATTTGAAAAATGTTATGTTGGTATCGTGAATCCACCAGCAGTTTATGGTCTTCTTTTTTTTCTAGATGTTCTATTTAATTAACTATTAGCTAATTCTTATAAAAATTCTATTGACTTATTATCCATTTCTTAACTAATTATAGCTTATTGATTTCTTTTAATGGGACTTCTTATTCTAATTACTGTTGATCTATTTGTTGGTTGTGTTACTATTATTGTTGGTGGTTTAAAAGATGCTTTAGGAGAAGGTTTAACTTAGAAAAAACTTTTCATAGGTTTTATATTTTATTGTCTTGGAGATAAAATTTTTGGTGATTATAATCTCTTTTTTGGTATATAATTTCTAATCCTTAAATCCTAAGTTGTTCTTAATTAGGTAATTGAGGTTGCAGTTAAAAGAGGTTATGGATTTTAAAATTATCCAAAATATATACCATTTGAAATCACTTATTATGAACGAGTAGGTTTATTTTATGAAGATAACCTTTTCATTAAAATTATTATTAAATAAATTATTTATTCAATCATATTTCTTTCAATAATACTCAAAAAAGCTTGAATATTTAAATCAGTAAACAATCTCAAAACTTTTAAGAGTTTTTTGATTCATGTAATGTATTATTGAATATTATACAAATTTATATAAAATTTGTTTTAAAATCACTTGGTATATAATATAATGATTTGTTTATATATATACTAACCTTTTGATNTATGTTCAATAAATGAACTAAAACCAAAGTCAATCAATTTAATTTTGTTATCTCTTATTAAAATATTTTCTAATTTTATGTCACGATGGATCTTTTAAATTTATAAATAAAAAAAATTACAATATTTTTAGAATGACAATAGTCAATAGCTTTGACAACTTAAAGAAAAATGTTCTTTGCCTCATTCTCAGGAATTAATTTATTTGGTTATTACTTAAGATATTATCTTAATGATAATGGACCGGCATATTCCATAACTAATTGCACTTGCGTCTGAATATTAAAAGATATACATCAGTGTAAATAACATCAAGTAATTATACAATATTTGGATGTTATAAAGAAGACAATATCTAGATTTCTTTTCTTATATATTCTTTTTTTTAAATAATCTTCATCCTTTCGTAAATCTTTATTGCTACCTACTATCCATTTAATAAATTTAATCCAACTTTTACTATTCCATAACTACCTTATCCAATCTATTCTTATATTAGATAATTTTCAATGTTATTTGAAAAATGTTATGTTGGTATCGTGAATCCACCAGCAGTTTATGGTCTTCTTTTTTTTCTAGATGTTCTATTTAATTAACTATTAGCTAATTCTTATAAAAATTCTATTGACTTATTATCCATTTCTTAACTAATTATAGCTTATTGATTTCTTTTAATGGGACTTCTTATTCTAATTACTGTTGATCTATTTGTTGGTTGTGTTACTATTATTGTTGGTGGTTTAAAAGATGCTTTAGGAGAAGGTTTAACTTAGAAAAAACTTTTCATAGGTTTTATATTTTATTGTCTTGGAGATAAAATTTTTGGTGATTATAATCTCTTTTTTGGTATATAATTTCTAATCCTTAAATCCTAAGTTGTTCTTAATTAGGTAATTGAGGTTGCAGTTAAAAGAGGTTATGGATTTTAAAATTATCCAAAATATATACCATTTGAAATCACTTATTATGAACGAGTAGGTTTATTTTATGAAGATAACCTTTTCATTAAAATTATTATTAAATAAATTATTTATTCAATCATATTTCTTTCAATAATACTCAAAAAAGCTTGAATATTTAAATCAGTAAACAATCTCAAAACTTTTAAGAGTTTTTTGATTCATGTAATGTATTATTGAATATTATACAAATTTATATAAAATTTGTTTTAAAATCACTTGGTATATAATATAATGATTTGTTTATATATATACTAACCTTTTGATTGTAATTTATTTTTAAATGTTTTTATACAAAACTTAATATATTAAGTAGTTAATAAAATATTATTGCTATTATAGTATTTTTATTAGTATATTGATTAGATTATTTGATTATTTGATTATTTAATTATTTCAATTCTCACATTTCCTCGAGTACATCTTAAATTGAAACACTATGACCCTCCTCTCTATGTTTCTACATCTTATCTTTAGCTCGTATTAAGAAATCCTCCAAATTTTTCAATTCAATATCATCATCTTGACCTTTGTATTATGTTATTGTATAAGCATTTTCTAAATTAGCTTGAATGAATGTTTAAGATTTATACCTTAACATTAATCCTCATCATAATCCACAAATATCACATTATGAGGATTTGATGTTGTCATATTTATTTCCTTTCTGATTTTATGACGAGATTATACACATGACTATGTGAAAAATAAAATTTACTTTTATCTGTAAAAATTATGTTCAAATTGAATGCAAAATCTATTTATTATTGGAACAGCAAATTCTTATATTTTAGTTGTATAAATGCTCACATCATAATATTTTGAAACACTCAATAAAAATATATCTAAGTATGGTCTATGTTTAACATAAAAATCTTGAGTTGCTCCTGAGGGATATCTGCATAATAATATTATTACAATATTACTTAACATTAAACCAATCCCATCCTGAAATAAATATAGGACTTGTACAAACTAAAGTACCTTCTAATCCAATTAATAATCTCAATTTCTCTGTTCTAAATGAAATTGATCTCGGTATTTAATGATATCGTCTTAATTCTAATTTCTTTTTCGGCATTATTTTTTTGTTAATATGCGTAATTAACTTATCTATTAATTAACAGAGCCATGCTAAAATTTATCCAATCATAATTTAATTTATATTATGTCACACATACAACTTAAAGAATTACATGACTCTAGTTAAATTTTAAACAAACTTAAACCAATTCTAAAGAATAATAATAACAATTATTTAACTACTCAAACAAGAATAGATAATGCTGGAAATCTAATTGTTAAAGGAGGTAATCATAAAATTGGATTCTTACCAATCTCAAATGAAAAATCTCCTAATGTTGTTACTTCTAGCAATATTCAAATCAATAGTGACTCTTCCGAATCAGATGAAGATACTATACAAAATAATATCAATTAAAATAGATAACCCATTCAAAATTTAAAAGGAAAAAAGTGTCAAAATACCTAAACACTCATTGTAGATCAATCTAAATGTTGTATAATATTTTGATATAATAATTCTTATTCATTATTATGTAATCAAGAACTTATTTCTCAATATCCTTTAAATAAGATTCAATTAATCCTCTCTTATTTTATTTTGACTTGCATATTATCTCAAAACTACTAAAATCTATTAAACTTATTACAAATCTCCAATTTATACCTTTTCCCAAAGAATCTAAATAAAACATATCTTTTTACTTATAAATAATCATTTTGGAGATTATATAATTTTGTGATTTATAAAGCACAGTTAATTTTAATACTATTATTAATCTAAATTAATTTTATCGTAATTTCTTTCGTTTTTTGTCTCATTTCTAAAATTATTGGTTGTAATTCTTTAAATGTACTCTCAGTCTTTAATAACAAGGATTGTAATTCTGATATATTATTTATACTGAAACTTTCAATGGTGCATTTTATGTTTGAAATAAATATTTCACTTAATTCTTGACCTAAAGTTAAAATGAATCGTAACTTTATAAATATTTAAGATTTGCAGTTTAAAACATTATATAATAATTATTATTCATTTGTTGTTCATTAGTTTTTACATATTATTTTAAACAATTTATCTATATATCAATAGGTATAACCTTATCTAATTCAGTAATTATCTAAAATAATATAGAGTCACTTTACCTAAACTATTTCTAAAGGAGTAAGTTTTAAAATATTTCTCTAATATAATATCGAAATATCAAACCTATCTTTAATAGACTAATTTTTATATTTGCATGCTCTTATAAATTAGATAAATGTAAGGAATCTTTTGAATTCTAAAGCTTCTTCAGTAGATTATATATTAATTTATTTAAAAATATCATCTAAACTTAAATAATCTAATTAAATATCAGATTTCTATGTAGTAGAGTTACTTTTATTTCCATAAATGATTTCATTCAATTTAGTTTTAGTTTCCTCTCTATTTGAAATTAAAACAGTCCAATTATGAATTAGATTACTGTAAAATATTTATAAATAAATGATGATTTCATCATAAGATTTAAACTCAGTTATTGATGAAATTGTTTTTAGTTTTTCAATAATAGGTTAAAGCATAACTTTGCTATTCTCTAAAATAACTAATACGCACTTCATTTAATTTAAATAATCCATATTTTATTAGCTTAAAAAGAGTTGAATCAATATAGTTTTTGTATTTTCTGTAGATATTGGGAATATCCTTTCTATAAGTGAACATATTTATTTATCATTCAATGCTTTTTATAATTTTCTTATTCTATTTTCAAATTACAATTTTGCTCTTAATGATAAAAATTAATGATGTTTAGAAATTAATAATGCCATATTCGTTAAATCATCATTATCAATATGATTCAACCATTTCGAAAATTAATTCTCTGTTTTTTCCCAAAGTTATGAATCCATTAGATTAATTGATGATACTTTCCAAATGTCAACAATAGATGCTTTGAAAGGTTATTACTCAATCTTTTATGATATAGCATTGTATATTTAAAGATTTTCCTTATTTAGAACTTGGCAAAACCTAAAACATATTTATCTAAGCATTTTTTAATTTATAATAAATTTATGAATACAACCGAATTGAGAATAAGTAAGTCTTTTATTAGAGAACGATAATCTCTTATACCTAGATCAGAATCAAAACTTTTCAATTGTTAAAATCTACGTTATCATTTTCTTAAAAAAATAGCATCAAATTGACTTTTTAATAAAGATTACGATTATATTATTAATCTTAAAACACTTTAAACCCAAAACCATGGAACCCACTTTCTGAAGAATATGGAACTATTTTAGATTTATCTCTTTACATGAAGTTATTAAACAAAAAAATAGGAATTGTTAAGTCGAGATTCAAAATATGTATTGAACAAAACAAATATTCATAAACGATTTATATAGATATGACCAATATTTAAATAGATGTTGCTTCTAAGAAAATTAGATTAAATTTAAAATCATCTATTAATGTTTTTAATAAAAGTAATTCTATTGGACCTTGGGATTCTCCTTTTTAAATTGTAAACAATATATTTTTTTCATTTTTATTATAAATCTAGACAACATATATTCATTTATTCAATTATTATCAAAAATATATTGGCAAAGTTTGTGTTTTCTCAATATTTGAAGGACTACCAGATAATTTTGATTATCGTCTTCTCAATACAATCTGATTTGAATCAGGTCCTTTTAAAACAGGAACTTTTGAGAATAAAGCTTTTTCGGTTGGAACTATGTAAAAAGCTTGTCCACTTTCGTCCGTAAATTATTTCTTTAAAATAGATTCCAAATTAGAATTATGAGACTTAAATCTAAGAGTTTTAGGTTTTATAAGTATCACAGATTGATCATCATCTGCTGTTAAGCTTTAAGAACAACCCATCTAGTATAAATTATTTATTTTTATTAAAAATATTAAAGTCTTACTGCCTAATTAGTTACAAGGTTAAGATTAAGATAAATAGAATTTAATCAGTTATACATATTGATTTGAATGATGAATTCAAATTAATAATTCAAATCCATAAATTATCAATAAATAATATATTCAGTAACTTAAAATATCATGATATTCTGAGTTGTACTTCATATTTTAATGAATTTACACAACTGTTATAATTTCATCCAAATATTTTACTATTTTTGCTATTTTCCTAAATTTTATCAGAAGAATATTTTCATATATAATTTCACTAAATTTTTTGAAGATGTTATTCAAATTTTTTTGGATAAATCACTGTAGATTAAAAATCTTCGCAATATTGAAAGTATATTTTTATGAGATATTAATGATA